GCGAATGCTCTTGGCCTCGGAGATGAAGGGATTCCGAGCCTTTGGCTGGGAGCCGGAGTGGAATGTCTATGGGTTGCTCAGTGGATCTTCGATGCAAGCCGACTGCACCGTGTTCAAGGACGTTCGCAAGCTGGAGCCAGGAAACTGGATGGAGATTAGAGATGGCGAGATCAAGCATCGCCAGTACTGGGATCCCGAGTTTAAGGATAAGGTATGTGGCATCCCCGGTCATGATAGGTTCTGGTGAGAGGCGCAGTTTTGCTAACTCGTGACAGCGTGAGGTGGAGACACGGAGCGCGGAAGAGATGATCGAGGGTGTGAGGGAGCGTCTGATAGAAGCAGTGAAGCTTCGACTCCGAGCTGATGTCCCCGTGGGAATCTACCTGTCTGGAGGTACGGTGCCGTCAAATCAAAAAGATCGAAGTACAAGACTGACCTAGTCACAGGTATCGATTCATCAGTGATTGCAGGAATTGTGACGAAGCTGGTAAAGGAGCAGGGCATTGAGCTGGGCAACCAAGACGCCACGAAGCGCATCAAGTGTTTCACGATCCAATTTCCAGAGTCCTCAGGCTTCAACGAAGCTGGTGAGTGCAGAGCCCCCTTTGATCACTTTAGGAGTACCATACTGACGCCCGGCAAAAGATATTGCTGAGCGCTCAGCCGACTTCCTCGGCGTGCAGATCCTCAAGAAGGACATGAACGAGACGGAGCTCGCCGACAACTTTGCCGATGCAGTCTTCCACACCGAGCACCACAACTTTGACCTGAACAGCGTGGGAAAGTTCTGCCTGTCATCACTACCTCAACAGCACGGCGTGCCCGTCGTTCTCACCGGTGAGGGCGCCGATGAGCACTTTGCAGGCTACCCTTTCGTGCTGCCGGCCTTCCTCATGGAACCCGACGTCGCGTGGCCCCAGTCCGACATGACGGACGGCGTCCGCATCCCCATGTATCAGGAGATGACGGACGACCTCAAGGCCATGTTTGACCGGATCGGCATGTTCGAGGACGAGTCCTCCTCGGGCGCGGGCGCCGCTCCCAGCAACTCGATGCGGCTCGAGCCCGAATGGAACGCCTTCTCGCCGTGGGTGCGGGAGACGTACAAGACGCCCGGCTCGGCCGAGTCGACGCTTGCGCCCGAGGTCCTCGAGAAGATGATTGAGAAGTGGCACTCGCTGCACACGAGCCTCTACGTCTACACAAAGGGCCCGCTCGCCAACATGATCCTCACGTGTCTGGGTGACCGCACCGAGATGGCGCACAGCATCGAGGCTCGCCCTCCCTTTCTGGACCACCACCTCGTCGAGTACGTCAACAACCTGCCGCCGAGCGTTAAGGTTGCGTATCAAGAAGCTGCCGGGGAAGCCGCCGGGACAGGGACGACCGGCACCGGAGCTAGCCTGTGGTGGAAGGATCTCAGCCCGGCGCGTCAGAAACTGAGCGAGAAGTGGATTCTCAAGGAGGCCGGGAAGCCGTTCATCACGCAGGAGCTCTACGAGCGGAGGAAGCACCCGTACTCGGCGCCGGTCAAGTGGCCGCGCGGCGGGCCCGTGTATAAGATGATTGCGGGGCTGATTACGCAGGAAAATATTGAGAATCTGGGCTTCATGGAGTGGGATTCCGCAAAGAGGTGGCTCGAGGAGGGCTTCGGCGAGGATGCGAGCCCCAGAGCGTTCCGAAAGCTGATTTGTACCGCTTCCTGGGTTGTTCTCAGTCAACGGTTTGGGGTGAAGAAGGCGGCCGTGGATCAATGGTCAGCGAGTGCGTGATTGGATGCTCGATTGGGAGTTTGGGACTTTTAGAATTCTGTGGTGCGAGATACTCTCAGGTATCTTGCCCCGTACCGGATACGATATACGATAAATGAGTTTGGATTAGGAACGCATAACAAGTATTCAAGGATACGATTGGCTTTTGAAAAACAATCTGGGACAATGTATTGATGCATTGAAAAATCTTGGCTGCATGTGTACACTTTAGACTTGCTTCGTTGGGGTCTCTGTCTGGCTTCTGATATGGGGACATCCGGACCGTTGGGCGGCCCCGCATCGGAGCCGAACCCGAGAAGTAACCATGTCCCTTAGGCGGTGCCGTGAAATATTGCCCTCAACAGCAATATTGGCCTGCTTTAACCTCTTGCTGCACCCAACCCATGGGACACAAGCATATCCAGCAATTGACGAGTGCTACGCGTATAACTGAGCTGGGTCATCGTGTCGTCGGGGTCAGATTTGCAACAGTCTGGTACCATTGGCCAGACTGGTCTGAAGCAACGCTGGCAAGGAACCGAGGCACCCATCCCTTCCCCCAAGGTGCCACAATAGGGGTTCTGTCGATCGGCTCCCCGGCCAATTGGGTACGCAAGCTGAAGCTCCGTTGGGTCCAAAAGTGCCCCGAAGCCCCGGCTTTGCGGGCAGTGTCAGCTAGCCGTTTTTTAACACGCGGCGGGGGGGTAAAGAGGTACCCGTGCATCCACAGCAGGGAACGCGTGCCGCCGCCTGTCTGAAGCTTAGCCCTTCCAGGTCCCAATCCCTCCAAATGTGGTTTTGCGTCACAAAAATAACCCCCAAACTAAAGGTCCCCCGGTCTTGTCTGGACACATGGGACGGAAGTTGCGACCACGAGACTTCATCTCCAATTTCCCACAACCTTCAACCGTTCCCCGTTTGCTCGAGCCAACACACTGAATTGTCGAAACTTACAACTCAGCATAGCTCTTGAGAGCTTTTCCTTCTCTACACACACATTGACGAGATGTTTTAGAAACTCTCAAACCTGAAGCTCGCTCCCTTTCCGCCTCTTCGGCTTCTTCTACACGTACACGTGAGCAAAGTTCCTCGAGGAGCTTTGCACCCACGAGCCAGCCCGCCATGGCTGCCTTTCTCAAGTTCTTGAGGAGCATCTACGACCTCGATAACCTCGACACCCGCTTCACGAGCTCCTCTTCCGTTCCCTACAAGACCATCGTCGAGGCTCGAACCGATCCCGCGCAAAGCAAGGAGCCACCCAACAAGGTCCAAAGCCGCTCCCAACCGTCAAAATGGGGGACACCGGAATACCTCCTCTACATCTTTCTGCTTTCATTCATCGTGCCATACATGTTTTGGATCGCGTATGATGTATCGAGGCGTACGTCTGGTCCTCTTCCTCCCAAGATGAAGCTTCCGCTGATGCTCAATGCTTCCATCCTCTAGCTTCTGACCCCCGATACCACAACTACGAACGCTTCCTCCGTGATGGCTGGATACCGGGTCGCAAGATCGTAAGCTTCACACAATGCGCAAAACCACCCAACCTACACGAGTCCCGCTCACCCCAGCCTCTCTTTCTAGGACGTATCCGATTCGCAATACCACACATTCCGCGAGAACCTCCCGTTCATGGCCCTCCTCCTGGCCTTCCACCCCCTCCTCCGCAAGCTCTGGAACACAGTCTTCCCGATCCCCTCGGACCTGCACAAAAAGTCTGTCTCCGAACAGGGCGACGCCCGCCTCGAGCAGCGCGCCTCCTTCGACTACCGCTTCGCTCTCGTCTTCCTCGTCGCCCTGCACGGCTTCTCCGCCCTCAAGGTGCTCGCGATCCTCCACATCAACTACCAGCTGGCGACCCGGCTCCCGCGCCGCTACGTCCCCGCCGCGACCTGGACGTTCAACATCTGCATGCTTTTTGCGAACGAGCTCTGCGAGGGGTATCGCTTCGCCGCCATTGCGCGACACATCACCCCGCCGCCCGCGACGAAGAACTTGCTCGATGAAGACCCCTTTCTCGTGAGGTGGGGTACGTGGATGGACCGCCACGGCGGTCTCATGAGCCGCTGGGAGATTCTCTTCAACATCACCGTACTGCGGCTCATCAGCTTCAACTTGGACTACTACTTCAGCCTCGATCAACGCAGCGGAAGCCCCCTAGAGGTAAGATCAAAGCTCTGTCATACCAACCCCCTCGACATCACTGACGTCCCCAAGAAGAAGCAACTCGACCCCTCCAACCTCTCCGAACGAGACCGCCTCGCCATCTCCGCCGCGCCCAGGGACTACTCCTTCCGCAACTACGTCGCCTACGCAATCTACGCGCCCCTCTACCTCGTCGGCCCCATCATGTGCTACAACGACTTCATCTCCCAGCTCCGCCACCGCCCGGCCTCGATCGAGACCCCGCGCACGATCCGCTACGCCGTCCGCTTCCTCCTCGGCCTCCTCGCTATGGAAGTCGTCCTGCACTACGACTACGTCTGCGCAATCTCCCACGCCGGGCCCGACTGGTCCACCTACACGCCCGCCCAGCTCTCCCTCCTCTCCTTCTTCAACCTCCACATCATCTGGCTCAAGCTCCTCCTGCCCTGGCGCCTCTTCCGCCTCTGGGCCCTCATCGACGGCGTCGACGCCCCCGAGAACATGCTCCGCTGCGTCTCCAACAACTGGTCCCCCAAATCCTTTTGGAAGGCCTGGCACCGCTCCTACAACCGCTGGCTCATCCGGTACATCTACATCCCCCTCGGCGGCGCAAACTTCCGCTCCTGGGCCACCACCGTCCGCTCCATCGCCACGTACCTGCTGGTCTTTACGTTCGTCGCCCTCTGGCACGATATCCGTCTGCGCCTCCTCATCTGGGGCTGGCTCATTGTGCTCTTCTTACTCCCCGAGGTCCTCGCACAGCTCCTGTTCCCCGCGCGCAAGTGGGAGGGCAGACCGGATACGTACCGTCGGATCTGCGCCGTGGGAGCTGTTGCGAATGTGCTCATGATGATGATTGCCAACCTTGTCGGTTTCGCTGTCGGACTCGACGGTTTGCAGAGCATTCTCTCTGGTATTCTACATGATTGGTCAGGTAAGTTAACAACAACAACCCCGGGGGGTTTCAGCTCTACTCTTTGGACATGAAGCGGACGTGCTAATTATGATCCTCTTAGGTGCACTGTTCTTTATGAGTGCGTTTGCCTCTCTGTACATGGGTGTCCAGGTCATGTTTGAAATCAGAGAGGCCGAGATGCGAAGAGGCATTTCACTAAAGTGTTGACGGGTGTGCACCGTCATTTGTCACCCAAAACGTTTGTAGCAAAATTACCTGTTTGAATAGCGATTTTTAAATGTTTAGTATTATGATACTAGACAGTTATCATGCTGTACTATTACTTGATGCAACTCGCTCCCCCTTCCTTCTTTGCGCCTCCCGACGTTGTGATGCTACTCATGACAAGGAGGGGACGAAAATTAGTTGAGGTCCCTCCGGGGTATAATAACAATGCAGTGCCTGCTCCCAAAACCGTGTCCAGACTCCTTCTCCTTGCCTCTCCCTCTTTATACATAAATACATACATATAAGTCACCGTGTCTGCGTCTTCCGTCGATTAAAATGGGCGTGCGCTTAGGTTCCTTTTACCCTCCTCCTTTTCGCTCCCTCTTTCTGACTTTATTTCCGGTCTCAGTGCTTGGAGGTGATGGTGCCCAGCTCCGTATCGTAGTTGCGGAAGCGCTGCTGGGCAAACTTGCCGTCCATGCCCAGCTTCTTCTCCGTGATCCACTCCCTCAACCAGATGAGGCCCTTTGCAATGAGATAAAAGACGATACCGGCCACCGCGATGCCGATAATGTACGCCGCCACCTTGCCACTGCCGTTCTTGTCGATGTTGAGGAAGTCGTAGGTGTAGAAGCCCTGTGTGTAGTATGTGACGTAGGCGAGCGCGAGGTACAGGGCGAGGACGATGATGAGCCAGAGCATGTGCACCCACTCGAGCTGGGCGGCGCTGGTGCGCGGGATGACGATCTCGAAGAGGGCAAAAGCCGAGTTGAGGCCGTGCTGGGAGATGTTGCTAAAGGCCTCGAATTGCTCGGTGTACCAGGGGGCTGAGTAGATGATGGCCCAGTAGACGATGGTCACGATGAAGGGGTAGGTGACGATGGTGCTATAGTAGAAGGCGTGCAGGGCCTGGAGGGGTCGCGGGAAGCGGTCGAGCAGCGGGGTTCCAGAGTGCGCGTACGTGAAGGTGTGGATGGCCGAGATGAGGAAGTAAAATGCGAGTCCCCAGTAGGTCAGAACAGTCTACGGAGGGGGGATCCCTCAAGTCAGTCTTGCGCCCTGTTCACCATGTTGGCACAAAATGATATTCGAGGTTTACTTACGAAGTAGGAAAAGCTCTGGCCGACGACCTTGCATCCACCATCTTCGGCGTGAGTACAGGTCCAACCGATGACGAAGAAGCGGACGACAAATATGTACAGACTCTGCGAGAAAGAAGACGTGTTAGTTCCCACAAGCAATGCACTGTTTGGTGGTGATTTAAAGGGCAATTGCGCGCTGAGAGGATGGTGACGACATTGCTAGACACCCCAATGCACAAAGGGTCCTCAAACGCGACAGAGAAGAGTAGGGGAAAGCCAAGACTCACAATTAGCGCTCGGCACGCAGCCAACAGATAGGGAGAAAGTAGCCATGAGGTCTCGAAGCGGTGAGAAGGATCCCAAAGATCCCTCCCAAAGCGGAATGCAGCGAACATCGTGATCTGCCGGGGGGATGATTGATGCCGGCTGGGATTGAGGGGGAGAAAAGGGGGAGTGGTGAAGCCCTTTACCCTCTCAATTTTCCTTCACGATGATGAAGTTTTGGAGTTGAGCTAGAAGGACGGGGCAATTGATCGAGGACCCAAGAGGATTTTGAACGTGGGCCTTGGCTTTCGGCGCGGGTCGTTGGTTCGCAGGGGTGGTCTCCGCTGGCTGAGAAATCGCAATTACTTTCTGGTGCTGGGGGGACCTAGACCTTGGTGGCAGGGCGCGCCGAGTCTCACGGGATGTCGCGTGCCGTATGTTGATGCGGGAGACTGTACGATTATCGATACAGAGTAACAATCGTTGATGATGTTCGCGGCTGTGAACAGTTGGATGCTATCTGCTGTATCTTCTGTTATTGTTGCTGTTGTTATTGTTTTTCCTGTCGATGCCAGCTTGCGACCCCAATGAAGAATGAACTGATTCGACCACCAGGGACTATGTAGCAGTCGTAAGCAACGTCGCGAGGCCCAATGTGTAAGCTGGGCCGCGGAATGCGACCATAAAGGTCTACCAAGGCTGTACACAGGTACCGACGGCTCCACGATAGGTATGGCCGATGCCGACACCTCTTTTTTTGGTTCTTCTATCCGCTTTTTGTGGCCTAGGAACCTGGTCATCAAAGAGGGTCTTGACCGTTGCTGCAGTTAGCCGGAGATGATGTGGGGGGTTCATGTACGATGCCAACGGGAGCATAAGGGGGGAAACCATGGGTTTTCTTCTTGAATTTCTCGAGTTCGGCCGAGAGCGTCAGAAAGGAAGATTCCGCCCGCGACATGTCCACCTCTTCTCACAAGCGTCTCCCTTCCCAAACTTGGGGTTCGACTGTAGCGAGTAAGACGGTCAGCCGAGAATAGCTGAACCGTATTTGCTGAGCAGACAGGTAAAGAATGCCACCGCGTGTTTTGGGCTATGTTGTGTGGCTGACGCCAAGTTAGCTGATCCAATATGATGGTGCTCTACTAAGAAGTGGCTCCTCGTCAGCCATAATTGATGACAGCAGGAGCCTTCGATAGTGAGGAGATATCCGGACGGGCGCAAACTCCTCCTCCTCCCGCTAAATCAGTGAGAAGGTGTCCTTGAATAATCAGCTGAGAGAGACCATAGCCATTGTGGCTCGGCTGGCGCGACTGCTTTTCGGTTTTCGGCCACCACGTATTCGTAGTCCATCACGCCGTTGCTGTGTTGCCGTTCCCCTGGTACAGGTGCATGCTGCGGGGTGAGGCTCCTGCAGAGAAGAAGTAGATGATTCTCAACTTTGGTAAGCAGATTGTAGATCGATCTCCAGATGAACCGACCGTCGATCGATAGGTGTCCCAGACTTCCAGGCCGAAGGTGGCACAAGGGGCACCGCACGAACGGAGGTATGACGGGATCGAAACCAGGACATGCCTTGCAGCCGCGCTTGTTGTGCAAGATGGGCTGAATCGTGGATGCCCGTCATTTCCGCGCTTGCGTTGCGATAGAGAAGCGCGATGCAAATACGGCCGCCACTTTCCGACCCTTGAAGGAGCCACTGCGAAGCCAATATTTGTCCACGGTGAAAATTTACCGCGAGGGGTTGAAATGTAGAGGAGATCGATGGCTCGATCCCACGGGAGCCACAATGGCTATCGTGACGTGAGCGACCCCTTGGCGACGGTAATGCGGAAACTTGTCAAAGTCCCACATGAGCCCCCCGGAAGGTTGTGGCTCATCACATCGTCATGCCCATCATCTATCGAACTCTCCGTCGTCTGCCCTGTAGGCCCTCAGGATGGCCACACGGTCGTATCCCCATCGCTAAGGTAGAGGTGGGTTGGCAATGTTCGCCAAAACCAATACTTCGCCAAACTGACTTGAACCGTTACCAATTGCAGTCGTATGAGCCACCGAGCGAGATGTGGTAATCTGGTTCGTCCCGTATCATTGGGTCAGAAGAAATCGTCAGCGGGCCGTTTTGGGCTTTTATTGGAGTTGAGGAGGCCACAACGGGCCGCATGGCATCGGCCGTTGGGTCGTGTCTGTTAAATAACCGGACCAAGACGCGCTGGAGTAGGATCGATAGTCAATATTAGCATTAAGCGTCGCGCTTCTTTGAACCGAGGCTTTCGGCCTAGTAAAGCCCCCATGAACTGCTCAGCAAGCTCCGTCGTCACTCCATCAGAAGCGTGGTGGTTGCTCGCACAGACTAGCTCTATAGTCAGCGTCAGGGGCTTTTGGACCGAACCCGACGAGGCTCCTCGGTTCATCTCGTCTTTTCTTGGCCCTCTTCTCTTCTCGCCTTCCCCTGTTCCAGGCATGTCAAGGGTGTCGCAACTAATCTTGAACGGCGGTCAACAACTGGGGAAATTCTAGTCAAGGACCCCAAATGAACGCTGCAAATCAGGTCAAATATTCGTTCGATCGATAAAGATGTTACCGGGAAGAGTCAAGGGCTGTAAGCGGGCTCCATGGCCGGGAGACGAGGCCGATCGATCGGCTCAGTGAGCCTATGTCCACAGATGGAAATGAGGCCGGAGAGGCGAGCTGTTGATACAAACTCGTGTCGAGCAACGGCCACGAGATGGTGGGTGTCAATTGTCGACACGGTCGGCGGTTTGAGACTCAGGTCTAGCTTCCGCCGCTTCAAACATCGTAGGCCGTGCGATCGAAGACCCACTAGGAGCTGATGCCCGCGACAGGCGTTAGAGGAATAAAAAGTGTGAGAGCATAGTGCACCATAAGCATTTGGGACAGCGGCATTGCACACCCCGTTCTGCGAATCGTGCCCCCATTGACGGACATAGCTAGACACCGAATTTGGAATGCTTATCGGATGTCGACATGTGATATATCATGAGATGCGAATTAAGTGATTTTTGTCCTTTACGCCGCGAATATGGTCAATCACAACCTCCAGACAACGGCACACCTCATGCCGACGTGAACCGGGGCTCATGGCATCTATACCACAGTAGACTGTACTTGTCGAGTTGTGTTTGGTATTTGCCCGGCGGGTTTGGCCTGGGCTGGGCCAAAAACAGGCGAAGCAAATAATCGCATCGCCAGGACTTCTTCAGGCCCTGTCGTCGTTGACAAAAGACCCAAGAGGCACCTTTGGATGGCAAGGTTGCAGTACGAAGTGCCATAACCACTGAATGTGGGCCCTCAATGGCGCGTCAAATGGAACATGTAACGGCACTTGGGCAGAGTGGGAGGGCGGCCTTCGCAGGCTGTGCCTCCAAAGTGTACGGATACCCCTCTCCTATGAATCAATTCCATCGTGTGAATGCGAGTTATTGATTGGCGGGCCGGAGGATGACTTCTGGAATGGGCTGGATCACGGGTGACGACGACCAACTTCCCCAAAGCATCCGTATTCGGCCATGAAAGGAAGCTGTGTCAGCGGTGGAACAATACTGGTGGTAAGACGACGTCCCAGGCTGGCTGTCAAGAGCAGGGGGTTGGATCCCAATCGAGACTCGGTCCTGCATCGTGGAAATAGTCTCGTAGCCCTAGGACAAGGCACCTTGTCTCCCGTTGGCTGTCGGCAGAAAGGTGTGAGTTGGATTTGATTGATAGTTTGGAAAAGCATCGTGTACTGTAGGTACTAGGTAGTGCGAGGTGCCAGTCAGCGCAGGCCGCAGGCCGCAGACAGCAGAAGTTTGGCTGCTACTTTCTGCCGTGTTTGGTGGCTGACGAAACATCTGCCCGTTTGCCTTGGCGTGCATATACTAGCCGCAATGACTGCGTCGGTGGATGGCGGCTGATTTGTTTCTTTCGGTGGGTTGAATGCTGGGACGGCCCTTCTTGTCAGCAGTCTGGAGGGGATGATTTGACTCTGATGCTGCAGAAGCAAGCAGAAGATGCTTTCGACGGGCATGCTATCGGCATCGGCTGCAGCATTAGCATCAGTGTGTCGAGTGCGTCCCGGTCCTAGACCACACGTCAAGGTAGGGGGCGGAAAGGGAAGTGGGTGAAGACATCTGCTCGGTAGGAGGGCACCTATTAACACAATCAACGCGTAGGTGGACACCATCGAATAATGTCTAAGCGACGGAGTCAGTCACAGCTCCCGTAGTCTGGCGACCCAGTCAGTAAGTCCAGTGGTGCCAAGCAAGATGGATCTACTCTCTGCACAAGAAGAAGAGCAAACAGACTGCGCTTCCCTTTTCATCATCGAGGGCCACACCTAAGGTTTTTAGCATCATGTAGATGCGCATCACCATCCGTACAAAGTATCTGTACAGAGTATCCGTACTTAAACTGGAGTTTGGAGGGCCAGAGGTCGAGAGCCGGAGACCGCTTTTCGCCGGAAGAGAGGGGTGGCAGTTGGAAGTATTGGAGGATTGAGGGGTGGAGAGAGAAAGGCTAGGTACTGCGTAGGTTGAAGACAGGGTCCGGGGTGATTGGGGGCTGTTCTGTCCCCTGAGCCCGAGCGGGCAGCGCAAAGACGATTTCGAATTCAAGCAGCGAGCTCTGAGGGGAGAGAGTGGTGCTGATTCTGGGCCTGTGTTTACTGTAGGGCGAGGTCTTGGTGAGTACTTTGTACAGAACATGGTGCATTTGAGATGGTGAGGTGGTGAGAATGGTGAAATCTTGCATGGCGAGGTTGGGGCTGATGTGTGATCCGTAAGGTAAGTAAGGTAAGAAGGTAAGGTAAGGTACGGAGTACTTGGTAGTCCACGGGTTCGTACATACTCCGTAGGGGACCCTGCAAGTGAGTCCCTGTCTTGGGAGGAGCCTCGGGTGGTTCTGGGCCCTTTCCCTTTTGCAGCTCGCCATGTTCTTCCCCGTTTTGCTCAGGGGTTCGAGGAAAGAAGCAGCGCTAAGGCAGAAAAGAGCAAGGGCGGCAGGGGTCCATGGGAAACGATTCAACTCACAAGGGGGAGGAAGGAGGGACGGGCGGGTGGTGCTGGGTCCTTCCTTTCTTCCTTCTGCTGGGGCCAACCTGAGGCGTCCCTTTTTTTTCCTTCTTTTTTCTCTCTTAATAACCTGGAGCAAATGTGATGGCTGCGGAGGGGAGGAGGGGGGCAGCAAAGCAATAGAGCGGTTCAATTAATTGCCTGGAATGACCAAGTGATACAATGAATCTCGGGAGAGGCGATGAACAATCGAACGAGGGCATCCAGCTAGGTACTCCAAGACCTTTTCGGGGAGTGCCTCAGGTAGGTAGGTAATGGAAGAGATTTCATCAAAGGAGAAGGAAGCAAAAGTGGCATTCCATAAGAACCAAAGGCGAGTGTCATAACTGCAAGGGCGAAGAAGCACCGCCGCTTGTAGGCACGAGGCTCGAATGAGAGAGGTAAAGGGAGACAGAGAGTGTGTACGGATATACACGTACGAGTACTTTACTTTGGGACAAAGAACATACTTGGATCGAAGTATCTTCTCTGGAAGCTTCAGGTACCTACTCCGTAATGGTCCCATGGCAGCGGCGGTCGCAGGTGTCAGTTGAGCCTGCCCGATTCCACGTCCTTGTCAATGTCAAGTGACTGTCACTGGATGTCAAGGTCAATGTGTCATCAGTTGAGCCTGCCCGATTCCACGTCCTTGTCAATGTCAAGTGACTGTCACTGGATGTCAAGGTCAATGTGTCAGTGCTGTTCAACCAACAGCAGCAGCTTCTGCTTTCTTTTCTCAATCGATCCTGGAGCCCTGCCAGAAACAACACATATGTATGTACTACGGTAGGCACACGCACTCGCACTCGCCCCAAGCTGCATTTTGTTTCTGGGTGAGGTACATAGCCTTACGGTCGGGATTCCGAAGTATTTTCCAGTACCTTACTGTGTGGTACTGATACCTCAGAGACATCCTCTCGGAACATGTATCTGGAATACCACTTCGACTAGAGAGGCACAGGCAAGAAGCTAAGGTGCTTGGAGATACTTGCCTTACCTAAGATGATATACCTCGGGCTCAACCCTTCCCCTACCTAGATACCCAAAAAAAAAGGCACTGGCACCATTTTGAATCTGCACCTCACGCTGCGCGCGGCGTACCTTACCTTGCTTGCACCACTCACTCACTTATGGCAATGGATCACAAAGTAGCAGCAGATGTACCTCAAGTACGAAGTAAGAAGTATCTACTGTGTGTATGTAAAGTGGTGGTAGAAAAAAAAGGAGCAGGGCGACCACCACCCACCTTGCCCGCCTGCTTGGTCTTGCCTTTCCTTGCGTTAGCGTAGTCGCCGGCATTCGAGCCACTCATCCCTCCACCTTCGTTCAATCAATTCAATTTAGTGGAGGGTGGGTGGATGGATGTACGTCTGTCCAGGTCCGGGTCCAGGTCCAGGTTCAGGCCCAGGGCACCCCCATCTCATCCCATCCCATCCCACACCATCCCATCTCGTGGTCCATCGCCGCGCAAGTCACTCCCTCTCACTCACACACCCACACTACACACCACACTCTCTCACTCGCGAACTGCATTTCCGGGCTTTCTTTACCATCCCAGCAAGAGGCGCCTTACGTACCTTGCTACCAACAGAGCTTCTTTGCCCTTTTCCCTCCTCTCAACTTCTCGCTTCATCTTGTCACTCTTTTCCAAGGCCACGAGGTAGAATTGAGATCAAACTCTCCATCTGTCTGTACCACTCACTACCTACCTACTTACCTTACTCCGTACACTTTGGCCCGCCTCAACCGTCCAGTCCCTCCTCTTCAGACTTCAAACTCAACCCTCGCCTCATCCATCTCCGCCCTGGAATGCTATCCTCTGCCCCTCTCGCCATTCTTGTACGAATACACGACTGAGCGTACGACGAAAGCCTTGACTCTTGAGCCTTCTTCCCGGTCCCGATCCCGCCGTCATCGCTTGGCCTTCCCGGTTCTTCTTTTTCGCTTCTCGTTGTCCAGAGCCTAACCCTTTTACTCATAATCCTAATATTATCCCACTTCACACTATAATCTATACCTTACCCTGTCTGGCCTTACCTTGCCTCCGACATCCCTCCTTGCTCACCCGCTCGCCCTTTTTCACCATTGCGACAACCCCGGATCTATTCTTGCTCGCTCCTGTCTCTCTTAACCCCCCTCTCTCACCTTCCAGGGGCTGTCCTGCCTGTCATGCCAATCTGCGACTGCTGAACACGTCCTTTTTCTCCCATTAGACGCGGCTGTTTGTTGCAACATCTCGACTCTTTGCCAATCTCATCCAACCAGAGCCAGCCATTCGCACACCCAACACTTCGTACAACAAGCACCACCACCACCACCAACACTTGTGAGACCAGCAGTGACAGTTGTGGTCTCCCACACCGCGCCCGTGTCGCACAACGTCGCACGTTATATCTCCGACTCTGCTATTCGACCTCCCGCATCGCACGACTCCGACCGAACCACCAGACCCGTACTGTCGAGCGGCTGTGGCAGTTGTCGCACGCCAATGGTCTCTGCCGCTCGTCTATAGCCTCGCCAGACACAGCTTCTTCTGTACGCCATGGCTACATCAACGGGCTTCCCACGCATGTCCTTCGGGGCCAACAACAACCTCGACTTGAGCTTGGACCTGCCAATTGTTCTCTTCCCCCCGTCAGACGACCTGCCTTCTCCCATTTATGAGAGTGATGATGAGGATGCTCAGCGAACACCGACCACGGCTACCGTGCCCCAGATCCCAGACCGCAGCACACGCCGAACAAATAACGAGTCACCGACACTGGGCAGCCCCAAGGTCCCTCGCCATCCCATCCCCTCAATGCAGGCCGCTTTCGCCGAGTCATTTCTCGAAGTCGCCGATGGCAATCCTACCCAGAAACCGAAACTCAAAACTGCTGATGCAAAGATTCGTCGCGAGGAGCTCATTAGCCAGGAACGCGAAGATGACCTACCCGATATGCTCTGGCGATTTCGCCCCGGCCAGCAGCAGCACGAGCTCCAGAAGCTCATGGCGCAGATATCATTTGGCGTTTACTTGCTACTTCACGGCATGGCCAACAGCGCCGCCCAGGTCGTCAGTATCCTGCAGGGTCACATCGACGAGGTGGACGAGTTTCTCGAGGTGGTCATGGAGGACTTTGAGCAGGCGACCAACGATTTGAAGGAGAGAATCGACTACCTTCGCTTGCCCATGGAGAACCTCGAAGTATTTGAGAAACTGCTAGAGGACCGCAATTTCCGCCTCGAGATCGTCCAGGGCAACGAAAAGATTGAGCATATCGTAGCTCGCACTAACATCCAGCTTGAACAGTACGACAAAGATGTGCAGCATGGCCTCGCCGCAACAAAGGAGTTTGCTGTTTATCTGGCTCACCAGAATGCAGGCAGTTGGCGTCAAGATCGTCCAGACGTGGTTGACATCTATGCCGCAATGAAGGGCAATACTGAGGGCTGGTACAACGCATTTGTAGAGTTACAAGCTCAAGGCAAGGAGTTGAATACCTTGGTCGTCAAGCTGGGGAAGATGGTGGCTGAAATGAGCAAGAAAGCCGGCGAAGTGAGTCGAAGAACTTGGGTAAGTCGGACCAACCGCTCTGTGGTCTGTCCAGAACTAACCGCTCTGCAGGCCAGCATTCCGCCGTTCAGCCTACCGCTGCAAGGCGCCCGAGTCGACGATGCCCCGTCGAATTCACCACCAGCTTCACCTCCCAGAGACCCGAGGCGCTCTACGCTGCGCGCGAATAGTGTGAGCGGCTCTGTCTCTACTGGGGAGAGGTCAAGTTCCAATTTGGCCTACTTTGACATCCCAATGCAGATACCATCGCCAGTAGCTTCCCCTGATCAGCGATCGGTCAAAACCCATAGAACATCGCACTCAAACAACACCATGCAGTCTTTCCACACCTCTCACTCTCACAACACGATTCATTCACAAACGACCACTAAATCTCATAAAACCACACACTCTCACAACACCAACCACTCCCACGAGACGGCTCGCACAAGCCATACTACTCGCACCAACCAGAGCTCGCATTCTATCGCGCCGAAGCTCACTCTGGAGACTCCCGACGGGCCAATAACTGAGCCCGTCAGCGCTGAGGAGGAGGTGGAGGTGACACTGGACGACGGACCGCTATACATACTCCAACCAAGGACCTACACCCCACAGCCACCAGAGGAACGCATGCCTTCACCCGCCCCGACCGAACCATCAAGCAAATACCAGCCCCAGCGCGAGGCGCCTCTCCCAACGAAGAAGACATCGCTTCGCCAGAGAGTTTCTTTGAAGACGACCCCTCCAGAGTCAATCCAAATTCCGCCCCCATCATCAGACCTTCATCACACTGCGCGAGAGTCTCCTCGGGAGCGTCAGGCCCCGGATTCCGCCTACGGTTCTGACTATGACCAGCGGCAGCGATACCATGCAGCGAACGAGCTCTCTCCACCTGTACAGCAGCCGCCTGTGCTACCGTCTCCGAGGTCGGAACACCAATATTACCGCCCGGTGCAAGCGAGTCCACACTCTCCACTACAGCAAAGGCCGCTCACTGCTGGTGCGCAGCCCAGATCTCCTTATGGTCACCAGTCTGGGTACTATCCCACTCATCAGAGGAACGCACCATCCCGTCTGGGAGGCGCAAGCATGTTGAGCAACGTCACGACCATGACATACGACTCGCAGATGACAGCGAGCGGAGAAAAGCGACTGAAGAAGAAACGCAGCGCTTTTGGCTGGCTGAAGAAGGCATTCTCGCTTGACGAAGAGGAACAACGAGCATACGAAGCACGGAGGCAGCAGCAAACGCCCAATATGTATTACGACGGCAGAAGCCCCAAGTTTTTAGACGGCAAGAGAGTGGCGCCGCCACGGACGGCAGACAGCGTCTATCGCCAAGGAGGCAGCGTCTATCGACAACAATAAGTCGGCCGTGTCATAGCAGGTTGTCATGGGCCGTAACCCCCACATGTGGCTCGTCGTCTGTAAGACTGGGAATCATGCCGAGTATGGACCACTCTTCGAATTCGCCATTTTGCGACTTGCGCCCGGTATTGGACAGAAGAAGTGCGATATTGATACCCCTCGGGCGATCATTTCTTGATATTACATCATTGTAATCATGCCACTCAACAAAAACCGTTGAACATGCTTCGCGATGTACATTTTGGCTTACGGGGTTTCCGCGAGCACATAACCATCTACTCGTTATTTCATGTTATTTGAAACAGATACTCGCAAGCTTGCGAAGGAAGAAAATTAGCATTAGTGCCCTGCCAGGCGTCGAGGCGTTTTAGTCATTAATGTAGCGACTTACCGTTTTTTCGGTGCATTTACAAGTCAGTCTTATACATATACGCCCGATGGAGGGCAGTAATATACGATTCTACGAGGATCCAAGACGAAATAGCGGGCCAAACCTCAACCCAACTCTAAATGAAAGCATCACCCCGCAATGTAGTGAACATATGTCATGCCTACGTTTGCTCCGGTCTACGCCCTTATGTACGCCCTACGCTGTAAGGCTAATATTCTTGTACGATTGGCCAAGTGCTTTCTAGGTCGGTTTGCCGTGTAGAGAGCTCCGATCAATCCGCAGATCCTAGACTGCTCGTTTTCGTTAACTCTGTACGCCGGTTTTCTGTACAGCCAAGACCAGTCGGTATCCGCTTCATAAATTGTATCAAGTAGTATAAGAAGCCACCGCAAGGTCCTGTCAGACTTAAGGGTATGCCAACTCTGATTTTTTATGTGTCTCTTGAATTACTATTTCACCTTTCCTCAATATTCATCACCCTCCTCCCCGCTTTATACCTCTACAAGCAACGGAGAAGAGGAAGGGTTCGGTAGACCTCCCGCCCGCCATGACATCGCCAGCGTCCAAGACGTGGCTCATCACGGGCTGCACGAGCGGTTTCGGCGAGGCCCTCGTGCGGAAGCTGATGGCGGAAGGAGATAATGTTATCGCCACGGGGCGTGGCGGGGCGGAGGCCAGGCTTGCGCATCTGCGAGACTCGACGACAGCGGCGCGGTTTCGGATCATGGAGCTCGATGTCGGAGCGGCGTCTGAGGCGGAAATACGGACCAAGGCGGCTGAGGCGTGGGGGTACTTTGAGGGCGGGGTTGATGTTGTTGTGAATAATGCTGGGTATATCGTCTCTGGGCTTGTCGAGGAATTGACGTGAGTTCTCTCTGGGGCCTCTCTTTTCCATGTCCTCCTTTTGTCCTCTTTTCCGTGCCCCCTCCTTTTCCACCCCCTCCGGAGTATCCACTGACATGGACGAAACGAGGAAAGACAAGAGGAGATGGAAGCGAGCTTTAGAACAAACTTCCACGGTCCGCTGAATGTTACGCGTGCGTTTCTGCCGATGATGAGGGAGAGGGGGACGGGGACGCTGGTGTATGTCAGTTCGCAGGCGGCGTGGCACGTTGAAGTTGGTGCCGGGGCGTATAGTGCGAGTAAATTCGCGCTCGAAGGTTTGTGTGTTTTGTGTTTTCTTTAGCCAACTCCATCACTTACACCTTGTACACCCTAAACATCAGTCTTGTTTTTCTGGAGCTTGGTGTCGTCTATGGTGTCCTCTCATCCAACCCCCCAACCCTGAACAAGAAAGAAAGAGAGGAAGAGAAAAAGCTAACCCTGCAACTTTGAACCCTCCCAAAGGCGCCGTCGAGACACTCTCCAAGGAACTATCCATCCTCGCTCCGAATATAAAAGTCATCATCATCGAGCCGGGCTTCTTCCGCACAAAAGTCTTTGACAACATCTCCAATGTGCCCGCCCGTATCCCCGAGTTTGCAGAGTTCAACGCCGCGATCAGGGCGGGCGCCGAGGCGCTTCCGGGGACGGAGCCGGGGGACCCTGAGAAGGCTGTTGCGAGGATCGCGGAGCTGGTGCGCGGCGACGGAATGGTGAAGGAAGGGGACGGTGGTGGTAGAGAGGTGCCGTTGAGGGTCGCGTTGGGGAGCGATGGGTGGGAGAGGATTCGGGATAAGTGTGTGGGTGTTTTGGAGGGGTTGAGGGCTTGGGAGGATGTTGCCAGGAGTACGGATTTTTGAAGATATCACTAGTAGTCTGTTCTGTCAAGAGATTTCGGAGTTCACAAAAAAAAGTCTGTGAGGGGTAGACCAAGATTCCACCTGTAGGTTTCTATTCCTCTTGTCTATTCAAGCCCCGGGACAATGCAAAAGTGGTCACTCCCCGACGCCGTAGCTCTTTACTCTACTGAAGAAGAAGGGCTTATCGTTCTTCAACGCAAACTCGCCCAGGTCGTCCGTCAGCTTGTTGTAGCTGTAGAAGCCCTTCCACACGAGCTTGGTGTTTCGCGCGCCGCCCTTGCCGGCGTTGCGCATCTCTAGATACATCCTGTACGTGTACTTCGCCCCGACTCCCTCCGTCTCGACGGCCACGTCGCCCTCGACCTCCCCGAGCGGCCTGTCTGGATGATCGAGCGCCGAGGACAGCCGCCACCGCCCGCGGAGGCCGTGCTGCATGACGACGGACGGCAGGTGCGCCGTGCCGCCGCCGCTACTGCGCCGATGGAGCTCAAGCAGGTCCTTTGTCATGTAGTGCACGACGTGGGCGGGTTCGTCGGTGGTGAGCAGGCTGATGGCGGTGCCGTCGCGGAAGAAGCGGAGGTAGCGGTAGTAGGTCACGATGTGGACGGGGCTGTTCCAGGTGATTTGGTTGGCGTTGGCCTGGCCCGGTCGGATGTAGTTCACGGTGCTGATGTAGCACCCGTTGAAGCGGATCCGCGGCCTGTGCCGGAACATTCTCCGCCAGGACGAATCGTAGAGTTCTGGTAGGAGGGTGAGGGTTGTGGTCTCGCCCTCTTCCTTGCGGCGCCGCGCGAGCTCCTCCATGGTCACGTAGTCGAGGTCGCCGCTGTTGTCTTCCTCTTCCTCCAGCGGTTCCCAGGAGACGCCGCGTTGCCAGTGGTAGTGCATGCCCGCGAAGCCGAATTCCGGGCCGAGGGCGACGCGGCGCCAGATCTGCTGCTCCGTGGCGACGACGTAGGCGAAGCGTTTGCATATGAGGGACAGCCGCACAAAGTCGCCGACGTCGAGGACGGCCACGTCTTTGAAGATGTGGACGAGGATCTCCTCGGGCATGACGGCAATGGGGCAGGGCGGCGCCGGGTCGCCTTCTACCGGCGGGGGCGCTGCTGATACGGCGAGACCTGAGAAGCCGGCAATCAATTCGCTCATTGTCTGCGTCTCAACGGGCTTGTTTGCTGCGCTTGTGGCGGCGGTCGCAGGACCTGATGCTGAGGGCTGCGGCGCTTTCGCGGCACCGGCGGGGAAGTGCTTCTTCCGGTATGCCAGGTCGACTCTATTATCCATCTACAGCGAAAGCTTCAGCATGATGCCAGTGGAAGAGTGCAGAATGGCAAAGCCTTGGTTGCTCACCCTGAATGCTTTCCGGTACAACTTGAGACTGTCCCCTAAGCTGCCGATCGCCTCCTTTTCGACAGCTTCTTCAAAGTGATCCAGGGCGGATACCAGTTCTCTGGCCTTATTGGGATCAGACTGGCCATCCAGTGTCGGACCGGACGCGGGCGGTGCTGGTTCATCGAAAACGAGAGATTGTGCGTATTCCTCATCCTCGTCTATTTGAGACCTCTTGGTGACTACGCTTTTGGGAATCTCTGCAGGTACCGATTGCTTGGATGACGAAGATGCCTCCCTTTTCGAATGAGGCGCCCGGGCTTCTGGTACTACCTTTTTGTGCTTCAGCTCAGTCTGCCATTGTTGCCGGAAAGACTCCAGCTCAGAATCGAGCTGTGGGGGTTGGTCTGCCATGACTGATAGCTATGATGCTCAAACGTTATGAGCCGGTGAAGCTGGGGAAGTGCTATGACAGTGACATTGATTATTTATTTAAAAGTCGAGGTGGGTGATGGCGTTGTTTGGCGGGTTTGAAATTTCGTATATTTCTTAGAACCGAAGCTGCGACATGAGATGTAGTTAAAGTCGACCACTCATCATCGACAATGATGCTGTAAGCAGGCACGGAAAGCACGCCGAACTGGAGTCAGACGGCGTGTGAGGTGCCACATGAGGTCCACCGTGCCTGGTGCTTATCGGTGACATTTTGTGGCGCACCGATGTATCCACCAGAGTTCCAGCCAATTGGGTCAGAGGATCGGTCCGTGACATCACCTTAAACGGTTTGGGCTCGGCTCGGCCAGCAAGGTGCCCCGGCGCCACCCATTTCATTATCTCCGGCAAATTTTTGGGGGAAGAAATGGAAGGGACCAGAGTCGGAGCGCGCACCCGATTTCGCAGTCATGACGAGGCGACTCTCCCGGTCTAGTGAACGGGGTAAGGCTAATTAATTCTCACCCTGCCTCTTTTTCCCACTTCGTGAAAGCTTGTATCCTTTTCCTCACCCCCTCATCCGTCGAACCGCTCGCCATTTTCCACTTTGGCCAGCTTCTTACTGCACCACATTTCTGCCGAACGGATGGCCGCAGCATCTCTCCCAAGCTCCGACTTCCCCGACGATGCAAGCTGGTCCGCAATGACTACCATCCACCAGGCCACCCGAGGCCAGGACCACGACAGATTTGATCCCGATGACTCTTTCCCGATGGCGCGAATAGCTCAGCCCCCGACCAACGGCAACGGAGGAAGCGACGATGATATTACGGCGCCGCAAAAGATGATCTCGGCCATGTCGGGTAGTCTTTTGACATCGCTGCTCGGTAAGCTAGCTAAAGCGCAAAACGGGATATGAGCTTCCCACATGCTGACACGCATCTGCAGTGACGCCCCTTGACGTTGTCCGAATCCGATGGCAGTCGCAAAATGTCACCCCGCCGACGGTAGACTTTTCACGGCTGGCTATGACCACCGACACCCTCAAGACTTTCAACACATCGAACCTCGGAGTCACAGCATGCTGCCGGGAGGTATTCTTCATGAACAACAACTCTGAACTATGTCTCGCGATGCCGAGAGCGGCAGAAGGCGCGGGAGCTTCTGCTGCTGCTGCATGCTCTGTCGAGGAGGTTGAGCGCAAGACAATCAGCTCTACAATGGACGGTCTGAAGAAGATTGCGCGAAATGAAGGATTCACCAGCCTATGGAGGGGTTTATCTCCCACATTGCTAATGACGATCCCGGGCAACATCATCTACTTTACTGGCTACGACTGGATGAGATACAATAAAAAGAACCCAATCGCGCAGAGGCTCAATGACGATACCGCTCCGTTGGTCGCCGGTTCCGCAGCTCGCGTTCTGGCTGCAGCTGCCGTCAGCCCGATCGAGCTCTTCCGTACAAGAATGCAAGCGTCGACCGGCAACTCTACGACCGGCCATCTCGCAAACACGTTCCGCGACATCAAGGATATGGTCCACAGCAGCGGATATACTTCTCTATGGAGGGGCCTGACCTTGACATTGTGGAGGGATGTGCCCTTCTCAGGCCTGTACTGGTGGGGATACGAGACGATCCGGGGTAGATTGACGGATTTCCGAGAGACCCGCCGCGGCCGGACTTTGGATACTAGAGGATCGCGAACTCAGTCGCGACGCAGGTCCCAGAGCCACGAAAACCACACGGAAACCATGACGGACAGCTTCATTGCCGGCGCCGTCTCGGGCGGATTCGCATCGATAGTGACGATGCCGTTCGACGTGGGCAAGACAAGGACGCAAGTGTATCGCGAAGCGCCCCGTCAAGCGGGCGAAGCCAACGCGGCCAAGGCCGCTGCGGCCGAACAGGGCTCCATGGTACGCCTGCTTTGGCACATCTTCACGACGGAGGGCATCGGCGGTCTGTGGAAAGGATGGATTCCCAGAACGCTCAAGGTGGCTCCGGCGTGCGCCATCATGATCAGCAGTTACGAAGTCGGAAAGCGGGTATTCAGGGGCGTGAACGAGAAGTCTAGGAGGGACGCGGACTAATATTGGAGCATCATCACTACTCATTCCATTTCCAGCATTATTGGGCGTTCAGCGGGCTGCTATCTATTGACGACGGGAAGGAAAAGAACCCGGGCCTGGAGTTTGCATGCCGAGCGGCATACGTCGCGGTTGGTTTAGACATCGGGGAAAACCAAAAATCGTGTAATTCTAGTTAAGTGTAATGATACCTCGTCCACAAAGTGGTTTTACTTTCATGACATACTTCAGTCATGGCTGATCCCAGCCTTGTGGTGAAAGGACGCATTGTCCAATAATGGACTTGTATTAACTTTGAGGTGAGATAAGGTAAGGTAAGGTACCCAGGGTAAGCCGGAGATCTTGATGAAGTCACCACTTCGTCCCAAATAGCCGACGGGAGCTCTCAGGGGCAATTGGGACCGCTAAGCAGCTAGGGCCGCTGCAGGGCGGCAGCTCCCAGGCAGCTCCCCGCCCCCTACCAGCCACTAAAAGCCTCCAGGACGCGCCAGAACAGCGGGTCAATCAACTCGCGTTAATGACTTTTTCCAATTCGTAGCGCGTCACCACGCGACGTTCCGCAAACCGGGTGTTCGAGCTTTAAGGCCAATGGAGGGCTAAGGGAAATCTCATTCTTGACTACACTCCATACTCCGTCTCTCTTCTTCCCCCACTCCAAACCTCCTTCTTAGCCCATTGTATTACACCTCTTTAACGTGAATAAGACCGAGCCAAATCTGAATTCTGGATCAGCTTTATGACGAACTGAAAGTTCTTGTCAGGTCCGACTCTCCATCACAATTAGTCCTCTACGCATCTCCAGGTTAGCAACCTACGCCGTCCTACGTCCGCGGCCAGGTCAACGGCCTGCCAACGTCATCGTCTCCCTCTCGTACAGCCTTCCCTCTCCACACGCCAACATGTCCACACTCAAGCGCAAGGCCGGCACGCTGTCCGCCTCCGACAGTAAGAAGCCCAAGCAAGATGGGAGCATCATGTCCTTCTTTGGGGCCCCGAAGCCGGCGGCCGGCAACAAGGGGGCTGGTTCCACCGCAGCAGGTGCCGCCGGTGCTGCGGCCGCTCCTGAGGCGCCTGCGGTCAAGTTTGACAAGGCCAAGTGGGTTGCCGGACTGACGGCCGAGCAGAAGGAGCTGCTGCAGCTCGAAATCAGCTCGCTGCACGAGAGCTGGCTCGCCCTTCTCAAGGACGAGGTCACCAGCAAGGAGTTTCTGGACCTCAAGCGCTTCCTCAACAGGGAGTCGGATGCCGGGAAGAAGTGGTTCCCCCCAAAGGAGGATGTGTACTCTTGGTATGTCCCAACTCTGATTCCCGCATTGTGAATCCTTGGCAAAGGTCATCCTTTTCTAACCGTAAGCTTTTACCAGGTCCCGTCACACCCCTTTCAACACAGTCAAGGTCGTCATCCTCGGCCAAGACCCCTACCACAACGTAAACCAGGCCCACGGTCTCGCCTTCTCCGTCCGCCCGCCCACCCCGGCGCCCCCCTCTCTCAAGAACATGTACATCGCCCTGAAGAAGGACTATCCTTCCTTCTCCCCGCCCCCCAACAAGGGCGGCCTCCTGACCCCCTGGGCCGACCGCGGCGTCCTCCTCCTCAACACGTGCCTGACGGTGCGGGCCCACGAGGCGAACTCCCACGCCAACCGCGGCTGGGAGCGCTTCACGCAAAAGGTCATCGACCTCGTCGCCGCCAAGCGTTCGCGCGGCGTTGTCTTCATGGCGTGGGGCACGCCCGCGGGCAAGCGTGTCGTCAAGGTCGACGCCAAGAAGCACCTCGTCCTTAAGAGCGTGCACCCGAGCCCGCTCAGCGCGTCGAGGGGTTTTTTCGACTGCGGGCACTTCAAAAAGGCAAACGAGTGGCTCGTTACCCGGTACGGCGCTGGCGCCGAGATTGATTGGGACCTGAGCGGGACGACGAAGACGGTCGAGGCCAAGGCTGTTGCCCCGGCGGAGACCAAGGTCACCAAGTCGATCGACGTTGACGAAGATGAAGAGGCTGAGATGGCTATGGCTGCGGCTGCGGCTGAGGCTGAGAAGGAGAATGAGAAGGCCAAGGATTCGCCCAAGGATGATACCGAAGAAGAGGAGTAATGTGAAGAGGTTACGATGAAAAAGAAACGGCACGGGGATGACGGGCTACGTAACGGGCAAGGCGGGCGTTTGGTAAAATCACGGTTTGGAATGAAAACGAGCAAAACGCCGCTTGCCTTTCGAGCCTATCTTCTAGGAAAAGGGTTTGAACGATTTGACGACACTTTGTACACCAGGGCACTAGATGATACAGCCTGATACAGGTACATGAGGGACCCACGCTTTAGATGCGAACATGCTGGGTCAGATGATGGAATTAGCTACTCGGGACTTATTACTGCAACAGATCTTAATGCAGACGATGGAAATCACCGGAGCCTTTCTGAAGCGCAAATATGCTTTCTCCCAGATGCGTGAGAACATGAACGGTGCCTTTGAAAGACATCCGTTGAATAAATTGAAATCTAGGAGGCTCTCATGCTACCGACGAGCTTACAACAGAGCAAAGCACAAAAATATGCCAGAAACCATCAAAACACCTTGCACAGCATTTTTATACTCTAGAAAATAGTAAAGAAAATGTGTTTTGGTATAAAAACATGAGAACACGCCGAGAGAACATGTGTTTTTGTATAGAAACGTGAGAGCATAGCGAGGAAACATGCCTCGAAGTACGCAAAACATAGTAAAGAAACATGAGAACATATAACAAAACATAAAAATATATCGAAAAAACATCGAAACACCTAAGGAAACAGCCAACAAAGCATTGGAACACATTTCAAAAACGTGTTCTCGTACGGAAACATAGCTCATGGGAAGAAAACATGCCTCTAAGCAGGAAAACATGCAGTAAAGCAGATAAGCATTCTTGAAAGCATAAAAACACGCAAGAAAACAGCCAAGGAAACATGGAAACGTCCAAAGACAATAAGGCGACATGAGAGCATGCTAGCAATGCAGGAGGTGCAAATTACGCACTCTTGACTGTACGTTCAATTGTGGAACAGTCGATAATCCGATCAGATACCAGCACGTTCCTTCTTCACAAAGTACACAGTCCAATTCGACTATGTCTTGAACGAAAATCAACCCAACTGTAGTGAAGCACTACGACATGAGAGTATATGCTGCAGCATGGCCCTGTTTTGGCGCAATTGACAGTTAATGGTGGGTTCTTCATTACTGAAAGAAGTCACTGGAACACTCGAAATTGGTTCGAATCCAGGCTCAACGGCCCTCTCTGATGTAGCTTATATACGATATTTATATGTACAGTGAATTGCAAAAAGATATGTTCAAGAAAAAATGGTTCAGAGACCAGGAGTGGCAGCAAAGCACCGAACTCTGTGATAGCCCAAAGCCCCAAGCGTCGTCAAGCCTTCGATGGTCTTTCCCAGCCGTCAGAGTTCGATTTCCAAAGATTGGCCGTCCAACCCCCTTAAGCCAGAAGCTCGACAGCGTCGAAACTGACACCAGGGCTGAGGTACTTCTCGCCGGAGCTTCCGCTGATGATGTTGATGGTGAGGATCTGCCACTCGCTCGTGCTCTGGATCCATGCGGACTGCGGCACGGCGAAGGTGAGCTTGACGTTGTTGCCGCGATACGTGCCGACGGTCAGCGAGCGGGTGCTGGCCTGGTTGGTGGCCGCGGGGAGGGCCGAGGCCCACGAGTTAACGTTGATGGCCGGGCGGCCGCCGATGTAGCCCTCCGTGATGCCGATGCGGACAGTGTGGCCGGCGGCGAGCTGGGCGGTGGTGAGCTTGAAGTAGATGAGGTAGCCGCTGTTGACCTCCTTCCACATGTAACCGGGGAACCGGTTGGCGCTGTGGGTGCCGACGATGAAGTTGCCGGCGTTCCAGGTGGAGATGCGGGTGTCGGAGGGGTGCATGTAAGTGGGCTTCATGGGGGTGTCCTCAAAGTTCAAAAAGCCCTTGGGGGTTCCATCTATGCCAAAAGTCAGTTTTTGTGTTCTTCATGTCCTCAAAGATTGTATAGGAGATCAAACTGACCCCACTCGCCGATGCGCCAAATGACAGCATCATCCTGAGGATCAACACAGGTGATGGTGTTGACGGCAGTGCCGGCGCCAGCCTTGATGGTGACGGAGGAGGTGGCGACCTCGAGCTCGTCCTTGTAGACGGTCAGAGTGTAGGTGCCGGGGATGATCTTGGTGATGGACCAGGCGCCACCGGAGCCGGCGGTGCCCCAGTACTGGGCGGCGGAGTTGGACAGCCCGACGACGTATGTCTTGCCGGACTTCATGTTGGAGAGGCCGACACCGGAAGCGTAGCCGCGACCAGAGGCAGGCACCCAGCCATCGAGCTAGATTTGAGTTAGATTGGGTATGCTACGCGGTTGTTGGATAGGGGAGTTGCTGCTTACGCCGAGGTCATCGAACCAGGACCAGTCGGCCTTGCGGGCGAAGAGGTTGCTGTTGGGGTCCTCGCCGGCGGTGAAAGCCAGGACGGAGGGGCCTTGGAGACCGGTGCGCATGGGGTCCGTGTGGCCCATATTGTAGTAGTAGATGTCGTACAAGTCCTCGCCAGTCGGGTCGGCGCGACGGACGAGAGAGCGGAAGAAGGGACCGCCGCTCGCCTTTTCGTGGTTGCTTCTGATCATGAACAGACCGACGCCGGTCTTCTTGCGGCCGACGTAGTCGACTACTTGAGGTCAGTATTATTCCATAGAAGTCGAATAGGGGAAAGACGCATACAGTCCATAACTCTGCTGGTTGTTAGTCAAGTTTTTTGCGAAGAAGGGTGTTCTTGTAACGTACCGGCCGTAGTTGGAGCCTTGGTAGTGCTTGCTCTTGGTCAAGCCGGCGCTATTGACGTTGATGTCCTGGGCCTCGATGATGGTGCTGCTGGCATCATAGAAGTCCTTTTTCGTAGTTTGTCAGCTGGCTATCATGGAACAACGATCGGTTGGAGAGCACATACACTCTCCGTAGAGTCGTGGGAGAAGATTCCACCCGGGATGCGGACGATGTAGCGCATAGCAGAGACCGAGTCGTCTGCCTTGTTCGTAAAGAGGTAGACATTGTTGTTTCCGTACCGGACAAAGATCCAGTGCTTGAGAGTCTGTAGATGTTTGTCAGGATACGATGCTTCGAGGTTATAGTGGGAAGGGCTCGAAAGGGGTATGAGGAGGAAAGACGTACGCCGTGGACGACCGAGACCTTAATGACGTTGCTGTAGCTCGTGATGCTGACCGTGCTAGTACCGAGTCCTTTCCTCATGTTAGTCCTGTTAATTCCTCTAGGACAAGGCGGCATTCGTAAACCTACCTGATTCGACGTGGGTGTTCTTGCCGCCCCAGCCATTATACTCGACGCCCTTGTAGTTGAGCGACGAGATATCACCGCAGCACTTGGTCACCTTGATGACGAGGTCAGAGCCGCTGTCAATGACATACTCGGAGCCATTGTCCGTCCAGCCAAAGGCCGCCAAGACGACCGCTGGCAGGAAGAACAGCGAGCACAGGAGTGAAAGGAACAACATGGTTGCTGTTGATCACCCCGAGTTACGGAAAACTCGCAGCAGCAGTGCGAGTCTTGGCAGCAAAAAAAAGGAGTGACAGAGGGAAACGGAGAGGACGGCAGATGCGTAGCTTCCTTTCCTCTTCCCTGAGAGGGCGGGAAATCTGGGAACCCATCACATTATATTGGCAAACCTCGAGCCCGCCCTGCCTGCCATCCTTCTCCTTTCTTTCCGCTCCGCTCCCAAGAACTGAAGCCCACACGGTAAACCAGCCCAAAAGGAACTTAGACGTTCCCGTCCTGGCCGACAAGACGTGATGCGGAACTGCCCTCCAGTCCTTGACAAACCTAAACCCCCCCTCTCAAGCAGCAAGCTTAATTACTTGAAGGAACCTCTATGGTGGGAATAGATTGGGGGTTGCGATGTAAGCGGAGGAGGGTGCGTGCTCAAGCTGGTCCCTCCCCCCATGCCGTCCATCCAGGACCATGGGCCCCTCGGCGCTCATGGCCCTACCGGGCGCTTCGTCCGTGATCCTTGGGTCCCACTCCTTATATCCGGGCATTGAACCCCCCGGCCGGACAGGAATCCTCCGGTTGGGAACTTGGGAAAGAGAAAAAAGGTTCTTCTTTTCTGCCCACCGTCCACGTAAGTCCCCTCCCACGTGCGCCATGCTTCTTGCTTGTCTGCCCCTTTTGCATCACCGGGCTGATAATTTGGTAGTTCGTTCGAAGGGGTTGAATCGTGGAACAATATTGGCCGGGGGATTCCACTGGGCAGCGGTTCACATGGCCCACGGGCTGGTGCCACTGCCACTGGTGGAAATGCGCGTAAAAGCACCGCTGAGGAAACCCCCCGCCATCGGAATAGTCGGTCCTCTCAGAACCCTTGTCCACGCGCTCAAGGTGACATCCGCGATATTGCTTTATTGGCATGGCCTTTTCTATAACCCGCACCGCAATCTTCTTTGGCTTCGCGCCTTTTTGCACCGCCTTACGACAGTCGTTGGCTCATGGGCACAACATACATGGGAGCTGGAACATGCCATTGACTGCATCGGGCTGCATGTTGCATTCACATGCCGATCCCAAAGGCTTGACTTGGAGCTGCCGGCTTTCTACCCTCGCTGACAGGCGCCCTCTCGCGGCATACGCCGTTGATCGCATTGGCAGTCAGCAGCCTGATTGACAGGGATGCTATACACGCTTGCTTCGCAATACCGCATTCAACCTCTTGCTGAAGTGCTGACACAACCCATCAGCTCCTATCCCCTACTAAAGGCAAGGAAAGGACGACCTGATTACCAAACATCGTACCCGTCTGATCAATAAGCAGTCGACACTGCTTGAGGGAGCCGGAGCTGCCCGCCAGAGAAATGCAAAGTCAGAAAATACCTTCAAGAGAGCACCGAAAACGAGAAGGGTTCCGTGTACGATACTGTAAGAGGAAAGTCCGGATCGGCGCAAGGATCTCGGTGGGCCTCCAACGACTCACGAGGAACACATGGTGACATGGTAAATGGTGCCCGCTCCGCTATCCTGCTTCCAAGTCCCGAAAGGAGAACCAAGAGATGGGCAGGTTATTGCGGCAATTCTTGTATGCTGCCCACAAAACCTCCATGGCTATTAAATGGGGTTTCGCTAGATCGGTTTTACCCAGTCTTTAAACTCGGTATAACAGATCACTCACTATTAACGTGCCCTTGACAAACTATAATAGACGGCTTTAGTTCTGGTGTGTCTGTGGCTACGTACTCAATGCAAACTGGTCCCTTTCAATTTTCGAGAGACTGACGCCAGCATACCTAAGGTAATGATAAGACGAACTTATGCACAGTTCTCAAGAAGATGTACTTGCACAGAAAAACCAATTGCGCCATACCAGTCTTGCCCTTACCAATCGATAGACAACCCTTCATAATTACCATGATGCACAACCTGCTGGGATAGGCAAGGCCTGTGTTTCAAAAGCAACCGCCCCCCCTCCCCCCCGGTCCTCAAAAGACGCTCTGGAGCGCCCGCTCCGCGAGCGCGGAACAAACCTATCTAAGTGTGTTAGATACCTGCATTTAAGACAAAGTCGTGGACTGCAATTTTCTCTAACTAGGTAGGAGACTCACAACGGGAGCGTTCTGTGCCTTAACCGAAAACGAGATGACGGGATAGCTAAGGGTCCGGACATTAGCTCAAGCGCCGGCGCCCCTCTTTCCGCCCCGATCAGTCCCGGAAGCCCGCCCTCTGCCTTTAGTACGGATCCCACCGGCCCCGCACCTCCGCCAACAATATCTTCCGGAATACGGAGTACCGCAGTCGGCTTGGCCTGTGCACGAAAGACCATTACCAACGACGACCTGACTTATATTGTTATGAAGACAGGAATCTCCTCCTGGGAGCCTACATTGACACATAGTCGAGGGTGCGCTGCTGTCGGGAGATGTAATAAGCGATGAAGGGCCTTGAAGCGCTCATACCTTGGAACCAGTCTCGGCACTGCCTTGTCGTCACGATGTACAGTGCAAAGCTCGTCAGCGTCTCGAAACCACACACCTGCCGTCCTGTCAGGTCTACAATGACCACACGTTGGTGGTATTACCCAGGCCCTGGTATCGCTCGCCCATCAAAAGTCTCATTCATTCATGAAATTTGTACATGCCTAGTGCACAGAAGATACACCCCAAGTCTATCCATCAATCGGACACCTGTACTCCCTCGCATGAGTCTCCGCCCGCGTTTTCCCCTCAACCTCTGGCCGGGACTGGTACGCGTCCAGGCAGCTCTGGTGATAAATATGCCTGCAAGCCAGCACGACTAACGGTCCCAGCGGCTGCTCTCTCGGTGTCGCTACAACTTCGCTCTGTCCCTCAGCGCCTTCTTCTGGCGCTGCCTCGTCCGCCTCTACATGGGAGTCTGATGCCACAGGCGCGGCCTTCCCCTTCCCTTTAGAGTCTGATACGGCCTGCGATACGTCGCTGCCGCTTCCAGTCTTCCCCTTGTCTCCAGCAACAACTAAGGCCTTCTTTTCTGCTTTCCACTCTTCTTCCCGCGCTTGCTTCTCCTCCCAAGCCTCAAAGACATTTCCCGAAACACCAGGGCCCCAGATCCGGCGACCACAAGCTTCGCAAGTCGAGCCCCTAGGTCGCCAGCCTCGTTGACGAAGGTCTACAGCTTGCTTGACATTTACAAACAGGCTTCGCTCAAGAAGTCGGTTGGAAAGCCGAAGTATTGATTCTTCGTAGGCATAGGCTGAGAAGATCGATGCCAGGACAGAGCGCAAATCTGCGAGGTTTGGTGACGAGGCCGCGGCTCGAGTGAGGAAAGCTCGTAGGATGCGGAGGAATGACAAATTGCTCCCGGCATTTGTAAGAAGTCTCCCCCCACCTTGACTTCCTGCTGGGCTAGAAGTTGTTGTCAGGAGAGCCGTAAAGGTGTGTTGGACGAGGGATCGCAAAAGAGCCAAAAGCTTATCCTTATCAAGATCGTCAAATCCATCGTGAGTGTCATCAGAAAGAGTGCCATTCTCAGTGGTTCCTGTAGTCTCAATGGTGGACGATACCTGCCGGGTTGTCTGCACAGCTGCGTCGATCAGGTTGAGCCAAAGCTCTTCATCAGGTGACAAGACCTCTGAAGTTGACGACTTTGTCTTCTTTTGAACGCCATTCGCCTTTCTCGAAGACTTGGTCTGACCTTGACAAAGCCAGATGCCCACATGTACATACTTCTGCAGTGCCCGCAAGATTTCTTCAGCCCCTGACTGCAAGTTTCCAGCTTTATCGTTGTTTTGAGCTCCTGTCAGGACACCTTGCAGGGCAGACTCGAGCGTACCAAGGTGCTTGACAAGTCTGTCCATAGCATCCTTGATCTGCCCCTCTCGAGCCATGAGCACAACGGCAGCGTCGATGACACCAGTCTCTTCCATAGTTGGAAGCAGGGCATTAAGGCGGAGGTTAACAGACTGAACCAAGCCAATGTAGTCAGACACATGAGCTGGGTCAAATCTGCACATAAGTTGCACATAGCGTTCAATCAGAGCTCGGTCTGGGTTTGCTGGGGATTCCCCGTCGCGCTTTTCTGGCTCGAGCAACGTTCGGAGGTAGAAGAATTGCAGCCCCAACGAATCCTCGGCAGAATCCAGAACATGCTGGTGGATGTCTGCAGGCTGCCCTGATAGAAATTTCGCCGCTTCGACAGGATTGGTCTCGATAAGCGCCCTGGCGTTGTTCCTGATTGCGTCAAGGACTTCTTGAACCTGGCGGCGGTTCAGGCCACTCTGTGGCCGTAGACAATCCCCGATACATTCAAAGACGGCGTCCCGGTCAGCGGGGTCTTCGAAATAAGTCTGGACAAGCTTGCCATACTGTTTATCAACCTTGTATTGCCTCTTCAAAATCCGGTAGAAACCGGCCTTCTTGAACATCGGTATGAGCGTGTTCGCATCGGGCGGTTGATAAATCGATAGGAGGTACTCGGCGCTGAGCTGTGCATCTTCGGCAAGATCTGATCCAGGGTAGTTGCACAGTCCGGTTAGAACCTTCGTAAGAGTAGAACCCGGGAAGAGCAAGTATTGAGGGAACTTTGGCAGGTTCCGAGCGATGAACATATCGAGATAGATCGTGTCCTCGGCTGCGAAGTCCGCCGGATTCATGATCTCCAGAAGTATGGATACGATGTATTGACGGTCGACTGTACGGCCAAAGATCTGCTCTTCCGGCACGTCGCCCCTGATGCCACCGTTAACTTGCTTGTCCGGCGAATCGTTCAAAAACGAATCCTCAAAGGCCTCGTTCACCGCACTCAAGAAACTCGGGGCATCAAACTTCAGTATCAGTCTGAGATAAGGAAATGACGGTTCTGTATGCTGATCTGGCCGTGTAAGGAAGCGTCGATTGCTGCCTTTGGGCCATGTGACACTGTTTCCTGAGAATAGAAACCAGTAAATCTCAGCCTTAGCCTTCGAGGCAGTGACGTCGTCCATAATCTCGCCGGTAGGATATACTCTGCCAGTCAATGTGTAGGAGAGGTAGGGGAACATCTTCAACGCGTTCACGCCGTATATCTCGTCCTCCATGTTTCCGGAAGACATGTAGTCACCATTGCTCATGAGAGGCACCAGCAACGTTAGTAGGTCGATCAGCGGTGTGATGTAATCGTTCAATGCCTGGTTCCAGACATATATCAGCGCGTCGTAGAGGCTGTGCTGCTTGCACAGCAGTGTAATCTGGTCCAGGTCCAGCGTCATAGTGTCCATGTGAACGATGATCTCCTCAAGTCGACTCTCCCATCCTTTGGTTACGTAGTATGTCACCACAGCCTTGACAACAGCAGGTGGTACGATGGTAATGTTCTTGTCAAGAATATAGGGTTCCATGGTTTCGAAGAAGATGCCCTCCACGCCGGCGTCCTCGTACCACTCGTACATCTCTTCGAAGAGGAATTCAACGTCGCCCACATTGTGACAGGCAGTGAAGCATGTTTCGCAAAGCTCCCGCACATGGTTATCATCGGCTGCTGATTTGTCCTTTTGCCGCTGGGTGAAGGCATATTTGAGCGACGCTTTCATAATTTCCATGAGCTTGTCGCGGACCATTGAGTGTCGCAGCGAGGTGTCTTCAGGCAACCCAATTGTGAGCTTGTCTGCATCACCAGTGTAGTACGATGTGCCAAGCTGTATCGCGCCGACGTAGTCACCGTTCTCCATAAGAGCAATGATTCGATCAGCCCAGTTTGATAGCGACCCAATGGATACATCGTTGAATCCAAGCAAGAAAATTTTGCCCTTGTACGTCTTCAAACTCATGTAAAATGCGTCAGCTACAACACCATGCATAGACGTATCGTCCTCATCCAGCTGCTCCACTAGGGTGTGTAGTTGTTTCGAGAAGAGATCGGCATGATATATAAACTTGTTGATCAAGTCGAAACCTTCTGTCTGCCGCATTGTTCGGTCTTCGAGCACAATCAAGCGCTGTGATATTGTCAGGACAGTGAGTACCGAGCGACTAAGCCACTGCACTGCAACGATGGCTTCTTCGCACTTCCATCTGCTCCGTGCCTTAAACTTGAGCGTCGGTGGTTTATCCTTGTTCTCGGCCGGTATCTCGTCAACGTCTAGGACAGTCAAGACGTTGGACCAGCAGTACACCAATTTGACTTTGGAAATATCGCTTCCTGTGACAGGATCCGGAACCTTAAGCTTCACGGCAGGGAACCACGCCAGGCAGCCAGTCATGGCGCTATGGTGAGCAACGTCCTTCGGCCTTGCCGACTTGTGCTGGGTTTGCGCGACGGGTGTCGTGGACACGATGACCAGTAGATAAGGCGTAAGCATTGCAGTGAGGCCCATAGTGTCTGTTGCACGCTCCGTGTTGCCAAGGGGCAAGGGACTGAATGCCAGGACCGTGCTGGGCTTGAGAGGTTTGCCGGCTGGAGGGGCAGCGTTCGGATACCTTCCTAGTATCCTCGTCGTCTTCACGGTTCGGCCGAGGGATCCTGTACCTCTCGTTGCCAGGTGTGAGAAAGCCATGCCGCGGTCGTCCGCCGACACGAGCGCAGTGTGCCTTGTTCCGAGGAAGCCGAGATGGGTCACTGCGACTCCTGGTAGGTGTCCATCAACAGTCCGGTTTTGCAGTTGCGGCTGTTCAAGGTGTGGTATGGAAAGAAACGGCCTGGATGCTCGGTTCGCCTCCCAGGTGAATATGTTTCCGTTCGCATGGCCTCCGGCAATCGTGGTATGGTCTGCCGAAACTGCGATGGCGGTGATGGCGCCAGACTCGACCGCCTTTGTTCCGGGGCCGATGATGGTCTTCAAGACCTGATTGTAATCAAACATTAATATTATACCCTTCGTAGTCCCCAGCACGATCGAAGCTGAGACAGCAATGCATGTAGGGGCGCCAAAGTTGCGCTTGCCAGCCTCGGAGAAGGCCTGGCTGTTGAGTTTCTTCAACCTCGTCCATCGTACAACTTCCCAAGGTGGGGATGGGGTGTCGGTATCGTCGCGGTCTAGCAGGTTTGAACTGAGGGAAGCGGAGCGGCTGTGACCGGTGAGAAAGCCGGGGGAGGAGGATCGCGGGCTGTGAATGAAGCTTGCGGATGAGATGCGGGACTGGAAGCGACGGTCGAAGGGTCGGAATGAGGGGGTGGGACTGCTGAGGCCGGGTCGGGAGGCCACAGAGGGGAGGACGCTACTGCTCGGAGACGAGATCACGGAGCCCTGAACACACAAGGTTAGCTAGAGCGCATTGGGATACTGCGAAGCTGTACTTGCCTGAACCGAAGGGGAATCATCAGGAACCGACATTAGGGAATCAATCGGGCTCCCAACCCGCTTGGGAACGGCATCCACGGAGCCTTCGTCAGATACATTGTCGGCTTGCTCGCGCAAAATCTCTCTGTATCGATTCGGAAGTGCGCCGCTCTCGGTCGCCGGTGGTGTGCTGCTGGACGTCTGGGTTTCATCATCCAAAAGGCCGACGATGCCGTCTTCCTCCCTCTCGGCCTTTACGGTCTCTTCATCACTGGAAGCTTGTATGTCCTCGGAGGACCGGTCGTCTTGATCTGCCATTGTGTCTCCAGGTCCATCATCTCTCTCCTTCGATGGTGGGGTCATCAATGGCGGTTCATCAGGCGCATTGCTGGCGATCGCAGGTTGGAGAGTTCGTTTTGGATTCGGAAGCTTGATAAGTGCTTGGAGGAAGGGAGGATTCGTAGAAGAAGCCGGCTCAATCAGGCTATGAACTGGATATGGCAGAATCTTATGAACGAAATTGTGTTCTCTGAGGATACGATCCCACTATGCCTACTCCTATCAGACGAAGGTGAGCTGTTGGTCAATGGTTGTCTAGTTGTCTTCTGAAAGAGGCGCATTACGCAGCTTGGACACCACAGCCCACACTAACCGGGCACCTTACAGTTCCAGGTTCTAGGTTCCTGCCGCCTACCAACCTGGAGCTCCAACACGGACCGGGGTTTCTCCGGCGGGCCGCAAAATACGCTATCAGCTGCTTAGGTAGGCGGTAGGTACCTGAGGTACCTCATGCTCACCGTGCCGTGGTGGATCTTCAAAGTTACATCACAGCGCAGGTTCGCTCTGCTCCTTGCATCCACTTCCCCAGACTCCCATTGCGACGACTTGTTTACTATCAACACAACCCATCCGAAAGAAGAGCCGCAAGCCCAAGCTTCGAAACTTCCCACCCTTTCAGCGTGGAGACATAAAGCCTTCATCATGTCTTCAATTGGTCCACAAATGCCACCGCATCTCACAAAGAGAAAGCGCACTCCGGATGGCCAAGGCGCGGACTCACCACTACCAAAGCATACGCGCAACAACACTGACGAAATCGACCTTGACGACGACGACTCCGACGATGCATACGGACCGACTGCGCCGAGCGCAACAGCCGCAGCAGCACCCAACAATCCCACACCATCATCGAAGCCCTCCATCGGGCCAACCCTCCCACCATCAAACCCAATAAACTCGAGCGAAATCCCCCTCGACGACTCAGACTCTGAAGACGGCTATGGCCCAACAGCACCTCGCGCATCGGCGCCAGCCCAAGAGGCCCTCGAGACAAAACCCCCAATAGGCTCAACGCTTCCTCCGAAACAAGCCATAGGTCCCGCTATGCCACCACCGGACCACCGCCCCTCCGCCGCAGACTCGGACTCGGACTCGGATGACGACTACGGCCCAGCCCTCCCCTCCTCAACAACAGCCGTCCAACGAGCACAAGCCGCCGCCGCAGCAGCAGCAGCGACGGCATCCCAAGGCCCCGCGGCACCGCAGCGCGACGACTGGATGCTCGCGCCGCCCACGCAGTCAGGCTACCAAGAACGCGACCCCACAAAACTCAAGAACCGCAAATTCGCCAGCGGGAAATCCTCCGCCGCCGCGGGAGGAGGCGGAGGAGGCATCAGCAGCATATGGACCGAGACGCCAGAACAGAAGCGCAAACGCCTCGAGGACGCCGTCCTCGGCCGCGGCGATCCGACGGCTGCGGGCAACGAAAAGAACCAGCAGCCGCGCCGGACCAAGGAGGAAGTGGAGCGGGAGAGACGCATCAGCGAGAACATTGCGAGCGCGCGGGGCAAAAGCATGTACGAGGAGCACCAGGCAAACAAGAAGCACGGCGGGAAGCCTGGGAGGGATGAGGAGGGGGAAGATGACCCCAGCAAAAGGGCTTTCGACAAGGAGAAGGACATGTCCCTGGGAGGCAAGATTGGGACAGCGCAGAGGAGAGAGTTGCTCAACAAAGCAAAAGACTTTGGAGGCCGGTTCCAGAAGGGATCGTATCTTTAGGTGTGGTCTTTCAGCATGTACCAATTGCAGAAGAATCCACACACAAGAGTTCTGGTTTACTACTCGGCCAGGCAAAAAAGGGGGGGGGGGGGGGGCTCAATACCACAAGGTTGCTTGAATACCCTTTTCGGGGCGAAGCATGTGTCACTAGTGAAGAATCCACGGCGTCCTTCATGGTTTCGATATTGTGCCAATGTACGCTGCGGGCATGAATCATAAAATCACATACATTCACAATCACAATATCAATCAAGTGGTCTGCAAAGAAGTTGTTACGTTAACTTTGATTGTCATTATTCCGTGACGAGTGATGCCTTAATCGCCGCAACTCCGCCGCTCCCCTTGTAATTCCAGAGAAACCAAACCAAAACAGGTCCCGTGTGCCTGCAATGCAAACCTGCCTCTGCCGCAGCGCGGCCTGATCCACCCTCCACATCCACCGTTGGCCCATGTGGCCTAATCCCACTCCGTCTGTATGTAAAAGTATGGGTATGAAAAGCGGCGTCGTGTTGCATATATAATGCAATAAACATCGCAGGTCTATGCTGAGATCTGCAAATTGGTCTCGGGGGTATGATGTACATGAGTAGCACAACAATAAAAAACAAAATCGCGTTCGCCTTAGTAGGTGATACAATCATCAAAAAGGCGGTCACCGTGCCTCAGTCATGGCGGTGGTGGTGCCTGCGTTTGGTGCAGTCTGCGTACCAGCCTCCAATTGGGATGGTGTGACGTTAGCACCATTTGCCGTCGGAGATGGAGTTTGCTGATCGCCACCGCGCCGGAGGGGGTTGCGGAAGGCAGGCAGCCTAATGTTGGAGAGGAGACCACGAGATTCCTGGTTCTCAGCATTAGTCGGCGAGGCTTGCGAGGTGTTCTGGTTTGAGGCAGGCGCAGCCTGTTGATGAGTACGAGGACGACGGTCCGATCGGTTGTTGCCGCGACGGTTGCCGTTGTTGCGTCCCCCAAGACCAAATCGTGCACCACTCAAGTTATACCACGCAGCTGGGGGGGCGTTGGGCATGTTGGTACGCGATGCCGTGCGGGCCATGTCGCCTGTGGCGTTGGGATCTCCTTCGCCAGGGGTTGGTCGGGGCTTGGGTGTGTAGTAGTCGGCCTTGCACAGAGGACAGCAGGCCCTTCTGCTGGTGAGCCAAGGATCGACGCAGACAGCATGGAAGGCGTGGCCGCATGTTAGTCCGCGAATATCATCATCGTCCTCAAGCGTGTCGATGCAAATGGCACAAGTATCACCGCTGGTAGCCATCAGCTCAGGCGGAACAGCAGCATTGATGTGTTCGTCGTCTTCGTCCTCCTCCTCACTGTGAACACGTTGGAGATGAGTGGCAGAAGTCGGGGTGGTCTGAGTAGCATCGGCATTGGCAGTTGTAGTCGAGGTGTCTCCGTCCTTCTTCGCCGCATCTTCGGTAGGTTTCTCGGCGATGGCTTTGTTCCCGGCGGCGGTAGCGGGGCGATCTTCAATCGACTCGCGCTCTTTCGAGGGCAGCTCCGGTACAACTCCATCAACAGATCGGAGACTGTTCGCCCGACTGGGAGGCGCAGAAACACCGCCGGCGGTAGGCAGGCCCTCTCGTGCACGCTCAGATACCCATGTCTTGTACTTTGTCATGGGGAACTTGTCGTTGACCTCATCCATCGTCATTAACTTCTTCTCGCGGCGCCTACGGTGCGGGCGAGGCATGTTCTCAAGGTTGATGGGTTCGCCATCCTCGTTGAGACGCATAGCACGATTACGAGCATTGTACCGGAAACAGTACTTGACGCCAACGATGATCCTAGAGACGGTGTTAGATGGTTATTGAGCGGGTATAGTCAAGTCTTAAGCAGGCTAACCATAAGTTCGTAAAAACTACTCCAAAGCCCAGGGCGACGAAGAAGAGCAGAGGGGAGCTCGTGGAGCCACCGTTGCCGCCCCCTCCTCCTCCATTGCCCGAGTTACCGGTAGGCGTCGGGTTGTCGGTGGTCGTTTGGATTACGCTCGTGGCATCGTTGACGGTCGACGTAGGGTCGGCGCTGAATGGTGCAGACGGCGTAGCGGAGAAGGTCCCCGAGGCCGAAGAAGAAAGCTGCCGCACCACGAGGTGGGAGACCTCGACGAAGACCTGATCAATGGCAGGCATTTTGACGGCGATCTAGGAGTCGAAATCCACTTCCTGGCAGTTGAAAAGTCGAACACCGTTGGAAGGTGATGCCGAAAGAAAACTCACGGTCGGGAGAGAGTCGAGTTCATGGAGTTGAGAGATGGGTGTGGCTAGGTTGAGTGACTGCCTTGATTTGAAACCGGAAAGCCGAAAACAGCAACTACGGACGGAAATGGTCGACCTGAACCCCCGTTCGCATGCGGCGTGCAATCGATACAATCCGATAGAGTAACGAGGGAAATTGCCTCTAGTAGAGATAGTATTCCCGTCTGTATACGAGTCGTGATTCCAATCTACTCTCAAGCCGTGGGAGGCGTGGTGAGTAGAGCGAATTGAAACAAGAGGAGGATCACGACACGATGTCGGATGGTGGTTGGGGAAGGTTGACAAAAGCAGGCAAGAGAGTGCGGAGGGAGGGAGAGTGCAGGTGGAGTGGGATAAGTATGGAACAGGACATGGAACTCTGACGGACAGTAAGAGCGTAACACAGCCCGGTCGCAGTGAAAAAGTGGGAACCACAAGTCGATGGGCGGGTAAGTGCGAAGGGGAAGGAAGAAGAGGAGTGGAGGAGGAGGAAGGACCACCCAGCCCAGACAAGACACATCAGACACCCCAAGGGCCACCAAACCAAACCAAGCAAAGTGTGGCAGAGACGTACCCAAGTACCCCTACCTTGCCTTCCAGTGTACGGAGTAATAGGTAGGTAGGCCAGTCAAAAAGGTGCAAAAAGGCACCACGGCACACGAAGGAAAGAGGCACTGAGGCACAGAGCGAAAGGAAAGACTGGGGAAGAGCGATGGGAACGGAGAAGCGGCCTGCAAGATGGGATTGGGCAGGGTATGAGTTAGCCCGCGCCAGGGTTGTATGCAAGGAGGTGGAGGTGCTGAGAAACCGGGTCTTCTTTGTGAGGTGGTGTTGGTAACCTGGCACGCTGCACGCCGGCCTGGATGAAATGGGTGTTGGCTGCCCTCACACTGTGCCACTGCGAAGCCTCAGACAATTAGCATTTTCCAATCTGTGCTGGTGCACACACCTTCAGGCCAGGTAGGGGCACGAAAGGGTGTCATGGAGACGGGCGACCAAACTGAGCATACTTGAGTACGGATAGTGCCCCGTACCGACTGCTTCGCAGGTACCGAGACAGCACAGACAATCCACCATGGATGAAAGCGCTGCCTTTTGAAAGGAGTAGACTGCGTATGTACGTATGTGGAAATCCAAGGCATGCGTCTCGTAGGTGACTGAGATGGACGCTCGCGGGTCTGAGCGAGCAGTCAAAGGGACTCAGGGCCGTCAATTGTTGCAAGTCACCTCGTTTGCACCTTCACCCAGCTCGTAGGACGCCCCGGTCTAGTCTGTTTCGGGAAACAAAGCGCCACGCCAGAGACAATGTGAGTGATGGAACTCGACCCTCGGACAGACGACTATACCCCTTTAGGACTAGCATCATATCTCGCTCAAGTGCTCACATAGCAAGTGGGTTGCTCTCTTAAAATGTCATGGTTGAATTGGTTCTTGACTGGGGAACCGGCAATGAACCGGCGGGGAAACTGGGAAAATGGCCTTCTGAAATCTTGAACAATTCAAAGACAAGCGTATTGTTCTCAAGGCAAGAAATGTAAAAGCAGTCGTCTACAACTAAGGTTGGCCGGGGGCTTACCTTACCGTAGATTGTCTCTTCCCGCTGCTTTTGACGGATACAGTGACTTAAGCCTGACTCTGGGCTACCTACCGCCGTGGTGCTTAGGTTCGCTTTAGCGTCGCTTGTCTTTTACCCCCTACTAACGGAGCATCTGAGGTACCTTACCTTACACAAAATCAAAGCTCAAGCGCCGCTTCCCGTGATGAACAATCCGATTCTCCTCTTCATCTCGGCCAACCCGTTGGTTCTTTGTCGTCGTTCCCGCTGCCGTCATGAGGCTGATACTGCAAACCGCACCCTATCGGATTTCGTCTACCCCTATCCTAGGTAGAGAAATCTCGCATCGAATCAAGGGGCCCAGCATGATGCTGATCTGACACGCAAGGTACCGTATACCACTGCCGGACTGCCTGACGTTGCCTTAGCTCAAGGTAGTGCGTACCTGCCATCAAGGCGCCTGAAATTCCAAAGAGTCTGCCTGTCGCGCCCGCACAACCTGCACCGCAACACCACCTCAAGTCACGAACACCAACACCGTTCGGGCCTGCTGACACCGCTTCCAAAGAAGAAGGGGTTTCTTTCCCTTGCTGATATCACGTCGGATAAATCATCCGTGCCCTCAGCTTCCATTTCGCCCACTTTCCCGTTCACGATTTGAGTTCCAACGTCAACTTCCTCCAAGGCCTCGGCAAATCATCATTTCTCGGTTTTCAACAGGCATGGGTAATGAACAGCCGACCATGCAAAATGCCGTCTTCTTTGTTCCCCTTTGTCTTTGCATCCAAGCCAAATCCCGCACCGCTACGGCCGGGTACTAGGCTACCGGTCAGCTTTAGCCCGCGGTGCGCATCATCGACGCCATCCGCCCTCCGGCGGCCCAGGCCGATGCTCTGGCGATGCCTCCAAAAGAACGCAGGGGATGCTGTGGGGATGCGGCGCCGGACGGTGGAAGGGAAAGACCGCGACACCATGCGGCGATAACCCAACGGAGAATTGCAGCAGCAGAAGCAAGCACCTAGCGGCTTACGCCAGAAGCAAAGTTGACAAGGGTCAGAGTAGGATACGACTGCTCGGTTGTTTCGTCTCTCGCCAAACGATCGCCCGAGTCCAGCTGTCTGGAGCCGCGTGTCTGAGGGTTTGATGTCTCTTTCACGATCATACCTCCTGGAACTGAACTGCCAACATATTCGCTCATGCCTGACATTGAAACGGAAAGGCATACGAACAGCAGGCACCTAGATGGACATCCCCAATGGCCAATGCAACCTACGATTATCAGCCGCTTGTACGGAACATGGCTGGAGCAACCAACGTCTACCTGTTGAATTTGCTATGCTTTCTTTTTGAAGCCATAGCGCATTATTATGTTGCTTAATCCTTGCCCTCACGAACGGGGTTCTTCCAACTTAGAGTGCTTTGGTTTTCCCAGCCCCGGACATGGCGCACATGGATCCATATCACCGAGTCAGGCCAGTGTCAGACGAGCCATCGGATTGTACAAAGTCGGAGTTGAGCGCTGGGTTGTGCCTTGCAGGTGGGAGCAACCGAGCACGCCATCACTAATCCGTGTGTATCTCGTTTCTGACGTTCTACTGTGTATTGGTGTGTAGGGAACGCGGCACCGATTCGAGGCGACGGCTACCCCGGCCCGGGAGAAGCAACATACCTACCAAGTAAGCCCTCAAATCTTCAACACCAACATCGACGACATACCCCTGGCACATCCCGCATAGGTACATGCGAGGAAGAAAGAGAGAGAGAGAAAAAAGAAGCACAACACGCACGTATCCGTCCAATACGACGAAAAGCAATAACTCAATCTTCTGGCACGGAATACGACGTCCTTACTGTCCCTCGTCTGGAATACGTCTCAACATCTCAGACATGATCATTAATAGAACCTGCATCTCAGCGCAGCGCTCCGACGAAATGGACGGTCTGAAGGTCGTGAGAACAATTAATAATAGCCACGAACTATTGTTCATGGCGAGTAACGACATGCTGGCTGGCTACCGCTGCACGCGCTGCAACCACTCGAAAAATCAGATGGCCAGCTTCGGAACGCTAGGGCCGACGGGCAATTGATTTCACCCCATCTTCTCAATGTTTCAGCATCACGGACAAAGACGACGCTTTTTTGCCACGACGACTCTATCGGCAGTGTGGGTTTGCTTGATTCAAGCGTTTGTCAATGTGTCGTCCTCCTTACCGAGTCGAATTGACTCCTCGGACCTTACCACCAGCATCTCGAGAAGATGCACTCACTCGGCCACGTCTAATCGTTGTCAGTGCCACCTCAGCCAGTCCGAGCACCAGACCGCTGCTTTGGCAGTCGGTATTCCCCAGGGTGCCAGGTCAAGATGTCAGACGCGAAAGCGCAAGAGCACACCACCAGAGTATCTGTACGGAGTACTGCTCTGGCAACACGACACATGTATGTCTCACACATCTTATTATCAGATGCCACGACACGAACAACCTTACGATTCTTTAGCCACTGAACGGCTCTCTTGGACGCTGCTGTGTCTTGCTCCGTCTCAACAACCCAGGCCCCTGGAAACGCTCAGGCGCCCACCTAGGAAAGCTTGATCTCCTTGGAACCACTGCTGTTCCTGGGGACGACGAAATCGATGTCACGAAGGCTTCCCTCGGTACCTTACATGACTGCCATTGAACCGCCGAATTGCGAAAATGAACTCCCTACCGTTATCAGTGATTAAATCATATGATCAGTACGATAACCAAACTACAACTTCGCCTCTGCAAAATCGTATCAAGCTGTCTCGAAGGAGGAAACACGCGCAAAGACAAGCCGATTGATCCGTGACTAACAGGACAACAGTACGAGGAAATAGTCTTTTCACAGTGCGTCTGGGGATACTGGCCCGCTCCAAGGGGGGGCTGCTTCGACTAATGACGCTGACCGAAGGTGAGTGCCGTCAAATCCGGACACACCAACTTATCCCCGCCATTGATGACGGCGACGAAAACGGCTTGGCTCCCGGCCTGACCAGAACATTCCCGGTCTTCGTCTGCAGCGTGCTTAGATACCGACTTTTCTGGGCTTTCAAGCCTCCATCGAAAATTCAAGCCTACGATGCAGTATGGTTGCGGTCTCTTCGAACACGTCTGCGCACTAAATTACAACAGAACGCCCGCTGTGAGCCAAGTTTTCATGGTTCACTAGAAAGATCTCACAGCCTACTCTCCACGTCTATGAGGGAAAAAGTTACCCTATCCTCGAGAGGCTCGAAAGCTGGGAGGCTGGTACGCGGGGCGGCTGTGAACAGAGCCTGTGTGTGCAACTGGGATCATGCCGTCATAGCATCCGCGGCAGAATAGTGTCGATCAACTTCTATCGGACCCGGGGTGTTGCAGACGGATCAGTAGATGCCCCTCGCCGTCGGAATGAAATTCATCGGATTGCCCTGGCCGCCGGCAACAACCACGCCATAACCTTATGCTTCCGGGTCTTGCGGATTTCGACGTTCAACCCCGGAGCCTTCCGAGCCGCACATCTAGGTCTCTCTTTGGGAGCCATCTGACTTAGGTAGTTTTCCTCTCCATCCCGCATTTTATGGCGCCAACGAGAACACTAACCAATTCGTCTGCCCGCTCTCGTTGCAAGTGAGCAGCACGAGTTGTCTCGTAACTCGGTGGTCGTGTGGTAAGGCCACAATTTTCGCGGGGGCCAGGTGCTTATCTTCGCCGCGCAGGAATGAGGATATTCTTTTGTCATCAAGGTCATCATCGATTTGACTTTCAATCCCCGGAAAACAGCTGGCGCAGGGCTGTGCAGACACGCCATTGAACGTTGAAAGAAGGCTTGCCGATCCCAGATCGCATTCCACACCTCCAATATCTCCCAGTCGCCCCCCAACCACTACCGAACATCGGCATTCAAGATATTTGGTGATCATGTGCGGTGTGTCTACGACGTACCTGGCTATAGGCCACAACTGCGGTCCTCTGCTTGTTAGCACCGCGATTTGGTTCCGTATGGATAGGCTCGTATCGTGGGTGACCTGTCAGCGGGCCATGCGTGGATCGGGTGGGAACGAACCGCGCCCGAAACAAAATATACAGGCCCCCAATGTGTGAGGTCCTCGGGAGTCTGAAAGTCGAAAAGTCCTGTTTTCGCGAATCACAACGAGACTTGAGCCTACTATTGGATCGCCAGTAGTCCATGAGATCATTTTCTATGGAACGAACAGGCTTCTTTGTCACCCGAGCCCGGCCCCCTCTCCATCCGCTCCACCCTGCTCTGGTGCTGTCGATCTTCAACGCCGCGCCATCCGGGGGGAGTCTGGACTTTTTTTTTCGCCTACGAGTTGGTTGGCTCGCGATAACGGCGATGCGGCAGACACACCACGGCAGCAAGGCAAAGAGGAAAGCCGTCCTTGATGGGGCTTGTTGCTAACGCCAGCCTGTCAGACGCTTCAATTCGCACCCGTCGATCAGTTCGATTTCCGGCGAGCAATTCAAATCTCCCCAAACCGTCCACGGCGAAAACCCAAGTGCATGGTAGCGTTCCGAGCATTCCAGACTTTCCAAGTGGTCGTCGTGATGCGGCATATGTGCGCGATGGCTGGCGCCGCGGGAAACTTGGAGAGGGGTAACGATTCTCTCCAATATCGTCGAGTTTGGTGTCCTCATCCACTCTCGCGGCCCCCAAGCCTCAGCCAAGAGAGGCTGGGCATTTGGCAAAAGTAGACTATCTTCTGTTAAACCCGAATTCCGTGACGCGGCCTTCTGCATTTGGTACCCTTGGAGTACGGGTACGGGGGGCTTCTCCTCACTTTCAACCCCGGGCTTCAGCTGCAGCTGCAGCTGTAGTGCAGGCAAAGGACGCGGGGTTCTCTGCGCGATGTTCGCTCCGATTCGGGAGGACCTCTGGGCGCGGTGGGTTATGTAAGATGTGAGGTGAGGGCAGCAGAGAAAACCACGCGACCAATGCCAGATGAACGGGTGCCCATCCACGAATTGAGGATTCATCAGACTCGACGCCCAGAACAGCGGTTCAAGCGGACGAACACTCTGGTTTCGGTATATCATTGACTGGTTCGCGAACTTCTATCTACCCCCTTGACCGTTGGAATTCTGATTACCAGAGGAAGCATGAAGGCCGAGCGCCCAGGTAGCGCATTGTGGCTGATCTATTGTTTCAAGTGCGACAACATCAAGCTTTCTCTCCCTATATTTCTTTTTAGTCGAAGAAGCTTAATATATTGCTGTTCTTGTTCTCCCTCTATCCGTACTGCGTACGGAATATGCTTTCCAATATTAGTGCACGACCTCGCGAGGAATTTTGTATGCCGAACCAGTCTTGTCTCGCGTGCCCTTGCCAGGTACGGATTCATCCACGGCGGTCCTGAGTCAAGTTCCCTCCCGGGGGCCCCTGTCGCCCATGAATTTGCGGCCGCGCGGGTCTTTTTTTCCCTCTCTTTTCCTTTTCGAACAGTTTGTTCCCCCTGTCAGATTGACACACTTTGACAGCCGTCAGCGGACAGCCCACCCCGGGGAGAGTACTATATCTTCGGCGACCCCCGGCCTCGGCGCGGACGACGGCCGATCGGGAGACGGCTCATCCGAGAATTTCGCCGGTCCGGGGTGTATGTGCTTGTGTGTGTGGCCGGTGTTGGGAAAGTAACTGTAAGGTTTTGACATATTCTTCCTCCAACAGGTCTCCATTTTGGCTTCTCCCGAGTATGGATGGAGGGAAGAGAGAACATTTTGCCTCATCTTGCCTCTTCCGGTTCTCTTGATGGAATGGTCGCCAGTGTCGGGTCTACTACATGCCGCACCGACATTTCTGTAGATGTAAAAGTTATTGTGAGCTGGAGGACAGATCTCGACGGTCCTCTTTAGTTGAATGAAGCCGACGTTCGAAGTCGAGCGTGATGGTGAGGGTTGTGACGATTGCTGGCGATGAGGCGCACATGGAGCTTACACCGGCCTAGGCTGCGATTCGGATGGAGGAGGATATCCACTTCACTGTCCTGGGGAGTTCTGGTCAAATTTACCTCGAACTCTAGGAGGCTTGATGCCTGCTTAACGAATGGGTTAATCATCTTGCCGTGATGGCTTTTCCATTGCTTTCCACGTCTCTCTACATAGGAACGAACACAACTGGTTCCAAACGTACCAAGGTATCATCGAGCTTGAACTTCTTCGCTATTTCAGCCTGGTACTTACCTAGCCAAGTAAGCCTGCGATCCACCAAGCCCGTCAGTTCGTCTATCATGGTTGAAGCGTGAGTTGATAATTCCCCCATCATGATTGAGCTTATGGCGTGATGCAACAAACGAGGGAACTCCTTGCGATTTTTCCTTTTCTCGCGGTGTCTAGTAAGACCATATATCCAGCAATCTTTCTAGTAACTTCACGATTGCTCGGCGTGATCATTGTCTTGTTTTTGGGTTTGGCTCGATATCTGGAGAATGCTTACGATGTGGTAGCTAACATAAGGCGGATGGAATCCCTCGCACGATGGTAAGATAGTTTGCTCCGTGAGCAATCTTACGCCCCCGCTCTTCTAGGGGATGTTGTAGGCTTCTATCAGACATGGCCGGTCTTTTGAGCATTTTCTACTTGCTGTGATAAGGCTCGCCAGTATCTGAGTGGATCTGATGGTCTCACTAACCGTAAACTGCTGTCGTGATGAGGCGCAACTACACATTCTCATTCTTGACATTCTCGACCGTCACGTCGCAGGAGCAAACAGGGCCTCATGGTCGTAGAAGCTGTAGAGAACTGAGTCCATCCGTTCAAAGGTAGAATTGCAGAGAATCAATTCGCAAAAAATGCCACGAGGGGTGCTCCCATGCCCAAGTGTTCCCCGACTTAGGACCGGAGAGAAGAACATCCTTGGGGTTCTCGAGATAATCTACCCTGACTTCTCCAACTTTGTCGTTTCTTCACTAACCAAGATCATCGATAGTCGCTAACCCCCGTGCTTCCCTGGAAATCGATCTTGCATGGAGAGCCCCTTGGCCTGCTGGTCTGGGCAAATCTGTGACGCATGAAGGGTCCTCATACGGTGGATTATTGGGGTGATTTACAAATCGAAGCCGGTGTATAAAACCATATCCACTGCCCATGCGGCAGGATCATTCTAGAATCGGCAGAGTTAATGGAAGATGATACCTTTGTGACGGTCCAGCTTTTTGTTTCTACTGGATGAGAGCAACAAGAGAGTACATCCGTAGAGTACCAGTGTTAACAACATGACGGTCAGCTTGTCCTGCAAGTCGGTCGAGGCACGGCCACTATCCTTGGAGGTTCCAGCAAGACGGGACTCGGAAGCCTTTGCGAGCTGATCGCTGCATCTCCAAACACCACAATGAAGCGAATGATACGCGTAAAGAACGTCCCTCTGATGCGGAGTTCGGTTTCAGTGTGGCTTGCATGTTCGCTGCATCTGAGGCATTTTGCCAGCAACCCGATACCCCGGGGGACAAGTAAAGCCTCGTTTTTGGCCCGTTTGGGTAGGTGCCTCCGCACCAGCGGGCTGGGGCCTGCATGTCGCTGACAATCCCCATCCAGTCGCCCGGGCGAGCTGGGCAGGAAAGCTGAAGTGCCAAGGTTGGCTGAAGGAGTACTGGTACGGAGTACCCAAGGTAGTGTAGCGTTGTCGTTGGCGGAGTTCTCCTCCCAAAAGAACCGATGGAAGGTTTGTTCTGCCCGGGTTCCGACAACTCGGCTCAGGTGCGTGCGTTGCCCTCCGCACTTTGGGACGGGCTGGGCGGCCCCACATGGGTGCAGGACAGGTGCGGGCCTACGAATCCTCGGCGTGGATTGACAGAAGTTTCCCGTATTCCATACCTTCCTTTAGTTCTGGGATATCGAAATCATCCACCGCCTGGCTCTCAAGTCTCAACAACTGCCACCCCGCCTTTCAACGTACCTTAGCCCACTACCCCGCCGGCGCCCACGGAAGAGAAACAGCTGCAGCTGGGGCCGAGTCTACTTTTTTTCTCTTTCGTTTGTTTCCTTATCCCCGTGCCCATACGTCCGACTTTACGGCTAGATTACCACCCCCAAAACCACCCCCAGCCATGCCTCCCACGAAGCTCCCGGAATCCGGCAATCCGCTGTAAGTCGAAGTTTATTCCTCTGTCTTCTACCCGGGACCCTTTATCGCGCGCGGCATTTTCGGTGGATGTTCATTTTCGCCTCTCCATCTCTCATCCCATTAAGCCTCGCTGTGCCTTTCACCGCTTCCCACCAACACCTAGCCTAGCGATTCTGCGAGGGAAGGGGCTGCAATCATCTCGAAGCGGTGGCGGTGGCTGAGCTCTCGGCATCCACACCCTCCTCAACAGCCTCTCGAGCTTCACTGGTAGAGGTGGGAAAGCCAGCATCTATTGTACTGATATGTGGACAAGGACACGGAAGTCGGTGGCAGTTCACTACCCCGAGAGTGATCCAATCTTTACCCTTTTTTGATTTGAGTTGTACAAGGAAGTGAGCTAATACAGAAGTCTGCGTCAATAGGGTCTTTTTCGACATCACACTCGGTGGTATGTATCAAATCATTCGCCGTCGGGGGGGCTCAATCTTTCCTCATGTCTTGGCCGGGGTGCTTCGGGGAACGAGTCTCATGAACTGCTCTGTCGTCCTATGGCCTCTTGAAGTCTTGGGGCCACGAAGCTATTCGCAGGCATTGTGCACGTGTGCATATGCCGAGAGAGACGGATCCCCGCAAGGTTCTGCCTTACATGCTGGGCACTCTTGTCCACGAACGAGCTAGGTTGTCGTCGTCCAGATGAGTCTAGGGGCTTGGAACTTGTCCCCTCTTGGCCACAAAGACGCTACCATCGGCGGTCGAACATCGCGGCTCAGGCAATCCCGGCTCCGGGGCTCCGAGCTGCTGGTGTGCTTCGGCTCTTCGGTGTGACCTTGATCTCTCGGTCTACGAACCTACCCGGCTATCATTCCCAAAACCCCAAAGTCTGGAAATACGTCTTTGCTGTCTATTGTTTGACTATATCGTTTCTCTCTAACACTTCTTCGGTATTGTCTCTAGGTGAACCGCTCGGCCGCATCACGTTCGAGCTCTTCAAGGATGTAGTCCCCAAGACGGCTGAGAACTTTCGTCAGTTCTGCACCGGCGAGTCCAAGGATGCCCGGGGTCGTCCGCAGGGCTACAAGGCCTCCAAGTTCCACCGTATCGTGAGTTCTCTTTCTACGTAACACTACTAGCCATCGTACTCAAATTTTGGACTGGACATCGAAGGAGGAAGGTGGTGGCGGAGATACTTGACAACGGTGACAACGGCTGACGGACAATATCTCACAGATCCAAGGCTTCATGTGTCAGGGCGGCGACTTTTTAAACGGCGACGGTACCGGCTCGGTATGCATCTACGGCACCTCCAAGTTCGCCGATGAGAACTTCAACCTGAAGCACGACCAGCCTGGTCTGCTCTCCATGGCCGTACGTGAAGAACCTCCTTTCCCATTTTGACACCAACTCATTGTAACGTGACAAAATTGGCGATTATGATGCTTAGACTAATAATGCCATCTTCACAGAACGCCGGACCCAACACAAACGGCTCCCAATTCTTCATCACCACCGTCCCGACTCCCTTCCTGGACAACAAGCACGTCGTCTTTGGCAAGGTCGTCGACGGTATGGACATTGTCAAGATGATGGAGGCCACCAAGACGGGGTACCGCGGCAAGGACCAGCCGAACCAGGACGTTGTCATTGCGCAGTGTGGTGAGATGTGAGGATGGTTTTGGTTGATAAAATCCTAAGGTGATGAGCTATGAGGCGGGATGAGCAAGGACATGTTGTTTGGGCAGTCTTGCTGCCCGCCTTGTGAGGCTGTAGCATCAGAATCCCACGTTCTGGCTCGTGATACATGGAGTTCGGAGCGAGGAAGCTACCGTATGCGAGGCGAGAGAGGGATAGGATGACATCCGGCTTGCCCGCTGGGTTCACATGTTCACCTAGCAAGTTGACTTGATCTGGTTCAAGGCCCAAAACCCCCGTAGCCCATGAGAGACGCCTCGTGTCATGAATACTTGAAAACGTGCCCCTTCCTCGTCTTCAACTTGTTCCTGGTTCACACTAGACATCTCCTTATCTCCTCTCCCCTTATGTGGGACCACGAAAAGTGAGAAAACGATAATTGCCCATGGCTCTGTATCATCTGTACGTCGATCAGAGGTAACTGAACACGGATTTATATTTCGTTGACGTCTGGCTGGGTATCTAAATGTTGAAATAAGTGATGGCAAACCTCATCATAATCTTGAGCGCCCAGGCAGCGCGCCCGGCAGGACGAGGGGGCGGGTGAAGGCTGGGCGGAATGCTGAAAAGCGTGTTCAATCGAACTAATTACAAACAACCATTTCCTGAAATTGAGTGTTACCGCAAGGAATGATGGACACCATTTCATACTCGTAGGACTTTAGCAATAAGTCATGAGGCACTTAGATATGAGTGGCTTACTCCCACAACCCTTCAGGCCCGACCGTCTTGGGGTTTCCTATAAGAGACGGTGATGCTTCTGTATATAATGAAGACGGAAAGCTCTTATAATGAAAAGAAACCTCCTATATCAACTTTCAAGCTTCCCATCTATCTTTAATCATACTCCAATAATCAAGTCATCCAAAAAAGTCAAAAGAGTTCACCCCCCCGGTGCTGAACTGGGGGCTACATCTCTTGGTGCTCAGGCTGGGATTCGAACTCGGGTATGCGCTGAGCCTGTCGTCGAGTAGGCTGGTTGGCGTGAATAATTGGTGACCGTTAACCATTCCACCACCCACGCCACAGTTTGACCTGACCCCCCGACCTAGGGGGGCGCCTGCTGTGCTGGTGACGAGAATGGAATTGAGGTGCCCTATAGACCCTTGATGGGTTGGTAGGCGGTGTGAGGATGAGGGAGAGCAGCGAGTGCCCGTCCCGTCAAGGAATGGGATGAAGGTTTGTTGTTATTGTTGTGGTTGGACGTGGACAGGAAGGTGCAATATGGGTGGTGGCTGCCTGGGGGACCATTGAGGGGTTTGGGCAGCCTTGCCTGTACTTCAGCCTCGTGAACCCTTCAGTCACTGCCAAGGCGGATTCAGACTGTCCCTGGTGGCTTTTGCTCTGATGGGAGCCATGCCTCCGACATCAACTAGCATAGCTATGCTTGGCTACTTGGAAGATTCTGGAGGTATCGGTGCCATTTTCACACAAGAACGCTGCTCATGGCACAGAACGCTCACATCGAACACATGTTTGGTACTATAGTCTTCCTATTCAATTCAAGAGATATCTTGCAATTGAGGTCATATCAAAGTGCGGATACTATGTACTGATAAAGATGACTGGTCTTGAACATAGCCCCAGCCGATCAGAGCGACTAGGCTACATGGAGTGGGTGGGTAGACTGAACAGCGTCGGTGAGTGAGCTGAACAGCATCAAGGTTGGTCAAAGAGGTCAGTCATACGAGTCCGCATTATGGCTATGCCGAACCTTGAAATCATGTCACATGCGAGTCACCAAGAAGTGCAACGAAGAAGTGTGTGAACTGGCTTCCATAGTACTACCACCCTCCAGGCGAGCATTATAGCCTCTGCGTTCCATGACTACCTGTTTTTTGTGTGTTTGCCTCCCTTCAATCATCCAATCCATAACCACATTCCTCCAATCCGTATCATGTCTCTTAAGTGCAGCGTCGAGCCGCCCAACCAGAAGGGGAGACCTGAAGTCCGAATGTCGAGATGAGTAGAAGAGGTGTAGAACGAAGCCTTGAGAAAAGTGCGAACCATTTTGGAAGCCCTTCCTCCCATATACCCATGGGGGAGACTTGAAAACTCTTGGGAGACAAACCCTCCCTGATGACAAAGAAATGGCCTCAGAATATTGAGGCAACTGAAAGAAGAAAGAAGTTGGTATCATCCTTTATCCTCCAACGCCGACCGGAAATTCCGTTCCGGTTATATGCCTGGGTCATCAAGAAAGAAAGAAAGAAAAAAGCCCTGCCCCGTCCTGTCCACCTGGGGTAATGCTCAGAAATCCGAAATGTCGACCGTGATACTCCTGTTCATGACCCTTTGTCCAATTCCCGTTGCCGTTGATGCCGGGAAGTTGAAGAGAACGTGATGCCTGTAACCGAATGTATGTACTGTATGACTTTGGCGATACCGAAAAGAGAGCCCAAACTCCAAGAGAGTGGTATGGGAATGCTGGGTATTGTTGAAGAATAGCACTGAAAGAAAAGAAAGAAAGAAATTGTTGAACCAGAAAAAGTCGAATCATGTTGCGCATGGCCCAGTAGACGATGTGTGTCCCTCAGAATGCTTGCGCGACGTGGACCCCCAACAGCTTAGTTGCCCTGGCCGAAGTTCCAAGAGTCTCTACCTCTGACATGACGGCCGTGGAGGAAGGGGGTGACGCTGGCCTCAGCAGACTGTTGACCACTGGTGGGAGTCGGAGCGGGAGTCTGGGCATTGAGGGTGACAGTGAGGAACGAGTACAGAGTCATAGCAGGAGCAGAGACAGTGAGAACCCGAGCCTTATTGGTGCCCTGGGCGACTCCAGAAGGAACGGTGGGAGTCGGAGTGCGAGTAGTGACCGGAGTGCTGCTGTGAGTACCATTGCTGGGGGCCGAGTTGACAGGGGCAGCCTGGCCGTCGACGCTGACCTGGAAGGGGTTGGCGAGCTGGTCCTTGATAGCGTTGAAGTTGTAATCCGTCTCGTCGGGGAACGTGAACGCAGACAGATCGTTGGCAGCCTTGTTGGAGTTTGAGGAAGCCTTGGCACCAGGCACAAGCTTCTCACCCTGGACCTTGATAACAGAGCAGCTAGAGTAGAGCTCAGGCGTCTCGATATCCTCAGAGGTGGCAGCGCGCTTGTCGTCCGTGAAGCCGACAGGGAAGTCGGCAAACTGGCCGTTCGTGGAGTCAGCGACGACACCCGGCTTGAGAGTAGGCCACGTCCAGACCCAGTAGACGGAGTACTCTGAGTTCTGGGCCAGATCCTCAGGGAGCTGGAAGGCCGTCTGGCACCAAATGTTGACGCCCATGGGTTGAAGGGCTTCATGCGCAGAGGCGTTCTGACGCTCCTGTGAGATGGGCGAATCGTTGACCTGGTAACACTGGCCGTCGTCGTAGTTGCGGGTTGCCAGGAGGCGACCAGTGCCATCGCCACCCTTGCCGTCAGCAGTCCACTGGCGGTGAATGTCGAAGACGCTTGGGTTAGACTTGGGCTGGGCGGTGCCGTAGATGAAGACAGTGCCGCGGTTGAGGGGCTTGTTCTCGGGGGTGGTCGGCTTAGTGACATGGCCGTTCTCCTGGTAGCGGAGAGAAACGAAGTCGCCAGGAGCAGCAGTCAAGGACGGGAACTCTGCAGGCTGGGCGCCGGGCATGGACTTCTCGCAGAGATTGAAGCCCTTTCCGGGAATGCGCATAGTGTATCGCTCGTCATCGAAGCCGTTGAGACGACCAGCCCAGCCATTGGAAAACCCATCAGGACCAACAAGAGTACCGTTGGCAGCGACGCGGTTGAGCTGCTCGACCCAGGTGTGAGACTCGACCATAGGGACACCGATGATGGCGGCGACAGCCATGGCGAAGGAGTTGACGCGAACCATGGTGAATTCTTGGGATATGATTGTGAAGAGAAAGGAGTGGATATTCTTGTGAATGGGATATTCAAGTGATGAAGCTTTTGATACTCGCTGAGCGCAAAAGTAGGGAAGAGTTTGGTGGACTCGTGAGCGATTCCAAAGGGAAAGTGAGGAAAGTAAAGAGTAGTAAAGAATTTGATGAAATCAAAAAAGGATTGAGTGCGTGTCTGGGTGAAAAAGATGAGTTAGGGTTTGCGTATGTATGAGCTGGAAGAAGGACGGGACAAACCAGGTGGGGCGGGCTGAGATATCTTTTGGCAGGAAGGAGCGCAGAGTTTTCGAGTCTTCCAGAAGAGTCGAAGTTGTAATGTTATGATTGATGTGAGTGTGAGTGTGAGTGTGTGTGATGTGAAAGTTTGAGATCGATGGCTGGGCCGCCTCGAGGTTGTTTTTATGTACGTGGGTTCTTGGTTTCTCGGTGAATCCGGTTGTTGACTAGAGTGGCAGGACTGAACGAGACCAAGAAGTTTGTTTGTTTACACACGTAAAGTTGTATTCACAATTAAGGACGTCCGGCGCAGTCAGATACCAGCTGAGTCAAGAATAGAAGGCGAAAGAAGAAGAAGAATAACAAGGCCTTGTCGTGCTACATGCGACGATGGTCGAGGTCAAAGATTGATATCTCGGGTAAAGTGGGGCGGCGTTGTAAGCTGCGAGGTTGTTGAAAGACGAGGAAGGATCGAACAGTCGACTCGGTCCGGGAGGAAGGAACAATAAAACGAATAAAGGAAGGTGCCTGCCTGCCTCAAGCGCGTACAATGAAATCCACGGAAATTAGGGTGGTCTGAAGAATGGGCCTCAAGGGAAGAAGGGAAACAATGCGATTGTTTCCGCGTTCTTTTGCGAATCCCGAGGGAAGAGGGCGTTTGGTGGATGAGGAGGTGAGGTGAGGTGAAGACCACAAAGCCATTTCGGGATGAGAGGCCGGGCTGGTTTAATATCACGTCTGTCTGTCACCCATGGGCCATGTCTGCCGCCTTCCATAGCCTGGATATCCCTACACGCATCTAGACTCATGCTTTCCCTTCTGTCTGCTCAACCCGTGGACGAGGGTCGTGATCGACGCAGGATGGGTAGCCGAATGACAGGCAAACACCCATGCGGCGCATCGTGGGAGTCGCGATCTAAAACGATAACGGTGGAGGACGGGATGGGCACTCGGACAGGGGGATTCTGGGCATCTGGCCAAAGGGCGAACGATACCGGTCGTGTGCCGGGGCCGGCCATAGGGTCGGACGGGGCCTGGTATGGGACGAAGAAGAGCGCATGTTTCTGATGCGAGGTACTGGGCGCCAGTCAAGCACGATGCGCCAAAGTAGCCAAGGTTGATGTTTGACAAGGAACGGCGGAGGTTGAAGTGGACTTCTTGGCGCACAGGTCTCAAGGTTGAAGACAAGGCAAGGTAGTCACGGTAGTCGCGACAAGGCATGTAGTGTGTATGGCATCCGCATCAAGGTCGGGGAGACGTCGGGTCGGGCGGTGGGCACTTGACGGGAGATGGTCTGCACTAACCTGCACGCGAGTGGGGCTCTCTGCCTACCTTGAGCTGGGTAGGTACCTATGGAAGTTTGGGGCAATAAGTACCAATCGGCGCTGCTCTCCCGCTGTAAGGTACCGACGCTCGTGGGGTTGCACCGATCTTGGTTTAGGCGCCACGGTCCTTGTAGCCAGGGATGGGCAGCGAACGACGAAACATGTATCTCTGAAGGCCAAAACGTATGGCCGAGAGACTTTGGACCCCATGCTTCACAGCAAAATCTGGAACAAGGGGCTCGCACTCCTCTTGCAGAGAGTCCAGAAGGTCCTGACCGTCCTGCGAGTCGCGATGCACCTCATCCAGTCAACCAGGCCCATGCGACCCCTGCCCGCCGTAAGCGAGCTCCAGACGCAAGGGTCCGCCACCACGTCGACTGGCAGCTAGCACCTCTGCCGCTCTGCAACTTACGGCGCCTACCAAAATTGGCACCCAGACCACCACTTGCTTCTCTCTGCTTGTTCCACCTTCAACGCGCCGAGGCCATTCCCGTCGACCATTTTCTCTCTTTTTCCTTGCTTATTTCGCGTGTCGTCCACGAATACATGGCCGACCACCGTAAGATTGGCTCAGCCTCTTTTCTCCTTTCCTATTTGGCCTTGCCGCGCCGCCGCCGGACACAAGGGCCTGGTAATCTACTCGATTGGCCACCGTTGGCGCAGACTGCCGCCAGACGGTCGACGAAGATGGATCCAGGAATGGAACAGACAAGGAAGCGAACAAAAAAAAAAGCCAAGTGCCCACTGCCGTCTGTCCACGCAACTAAACTGACCAGTGTTCCATGGCAGCTTACTTGATGCCAAATCAAAAATGCAAATGCTTCGCAAAATGTACTCCTTGCGCCAAGCACCCTGGTCTCTTTTGCCGCGGACGGAGTCGCGAATATACAAGATTCCAACCCACCTTGGAGCACCGACCTACTCCAAAATCCCACATCAGGGATCTTAATGAGCAGTGGCAATAGCCAACAGTTATGGGCATCGAACACCACGACCCCGGTCACCACCTTTCATTCCAGACGGACCGAAGTCTAGGCAAGCGCAATGGACCGCCGTCTACGGATGTCAGGGAAGCACAAGCTTGGACGTCTGGACGGCGTCTAGAAGAGCAAAATGCAACTCGACTCGAAACACGGACCAGTGGCCCCTACGGAGTACACAGCACACAGCACGCGATGAACAACGAATACCTGACCGGGCCTTCGTTTTCAGTCTTTTGCTCCGTTTTCGCTGTCCGTGGCTCTGTTTGCCATGTCTCTGTTCAGGTTAATTGTTACAGTAGACCAAGACTAACAGCAAGCAAGAGTCGACGACCGCACAGAAGTTGGAAAGTAAGTTGTTGTTCATGGTATTCCCAGTTCTGCTTTCTCATCCGCTTAGACCACCCCCATCTCAATTGTCGAGAGATTGTCACCTACGCCTCCGAGCTCAATGCCCCGAAGCCGTCAATCTGCAAGCCACACCCCGGCATTTCAACAATTGGATCCCCCTCGCTGGTGGGAATTCACAAATCGTCTTGTCTCATCGTCCGTGCGCATCCCGGTCCTTTCTTTTTCTGCTCCACCGCTAGCAACCCGCCCCGGGCGGCGGGCGCGAGATCTCGGCGAACGGCTTCAGTCCAGTCCAATCGTGGCTGAGTATGCTGAGGCTCAACTTGACAGCGCTTGCTCAACCGCCGATATACCTTGTCACGCGATTGATGAATCTTTCGACTTCAACTCTTCCTCAAGACGGCAGCTCGAACGGGCGATTATCTTGAAAACTCACCAGAAATACCAACCCCCTATTTCCCGTCTTTTGCCACTGTTCGCGATATCACACACCTCGGTCACCAACGTTCAGACATGCAGCGTTTCACCTGCGGCTGCCGTCCACGTTGTTCAGACCATGCACCCGCGAACCCTCGTCCGTCCCATCCTAAGAAAGGAAGAACCCCTGCGAACATCCTCCGCTCTTGTTTTTCCCACTGATCGCCCTCATCCTCTCTCTCGCTTCATCTCCTGGTTTTGAGCACTCACATTTTTCGCACGATGCGATGGGTAGGTCTCCACGTGCACACCTCCACTCGCTTCTCCTGCTCCGCAATCTCGTTCTCTTGCTTGGAATGAAACATCAAACTCCCACGTCCCACTCGCGCTACTGAATCCTCCTGGCGAGGCCGGGGAAGGGGGAGTTATTATTATTACCGTAACGTCCGGGCGGTACTGGTGACGAGGACAGGGACGATGTTGACGACGACGACTACGACTACGAATCCACACCGAGAGCTCCGTCGAGTTTGCGACAAAAGGCAAACCGAAGAAACGGAGGAACCACAATTTGGCAGCGTCTCACGAAACATAAGTCTTGGCGACAGAGGATCATCTGATCTTTTTAAGCTTCCATCACCTCAAACGCTGATGAAAAAAGAAAAAAAAAGAAGAGGAAGAGAATACCCACCGGTGCCACCACAGGTGACCCCGAATGCGAACACCAGGCAGGCAAGCAGGCAGGCATGCCACTCTTCTTGAGCGTTTCATCTCATCACTCCAGCGAAGCTCTCTGAACCACTCGCTCGTCCCAACACCAACGTTTGGCGGGCATGAAGGATGACAGGAGAAACAATACGTCTCTTGTCGGACCAATGTAACCGTGATGTGGGAACCGAAGCAATTTTTGTTTTCACATTCTGCCGAGGGGACCAAGTGAGAGTAACAAGTTTCCGTCTTCTTTCTCCTTACTAAAAACTCTGGTAATAACAAAACGTGATTATTGGTATCAAAAGTTGCTGTTTCTCTCTAGCACATGGCAACATGTTTTTTTCTCTGCCCCTATTCCGTTCAAGAGGAGCCTTTATAGGCGTTTCACACATGAGTCGGCCGTCAATCATTCCATCCCGCCCTAAAGTCAAGAACATAAACTCCCGCGCAAAAAGTACACTATCCCCTTTTTTCACCTTTGCTCAGATGCCGCTGCATGCGAGATTACTCCTCTCCAGTTTTGCAACGTACGCGCAAGCAAGCAGGGCACACATCTCCCGGAAACATGCTGCATTCCCTTTTCCCTTTCCCGTCTGTACAGCTCGGCCGAGTGTGAAGTTTCACTCCCAGTTCCGGTGTCCGTGACCACCAGCCTCGTCCATCACAGCTGCCGGCGCTCGATGGTGCACCAGCTTCTGGATCGATGATGCGGGGTAGTTCTCCCTGTTCTCCATGTCGAGGCTGTTGGAGCGCGCCCTCTTCCTGCTACCCGTCAACGACTTGAGCGGGGTGAGTTGATCCAGCGAGGGCAGACCGCTGCTGCGCTGTTGGTCGACTGGTGACCATCCGGATCTGCCGTCTGTGCCGGCCACGGCAGCGACTGCCGAGACGGCCTGGGCCCACGGCTGCTGGTTCCATGTGTGGTGGTCCTTGCTCTCGGCCCAGAGATTGGAGTTGGCGGCCGCGCTGCGGTGGTTCTCGTTCTGCCACTGCTGCGTCTTTGGGTCTGACGCCGCCTCGCTCCAGCCGTTCCACTGGTGGAGGCCGTGGAAGGACGAGGTCGTCGTGTCCCAGTCGTGGATGCCCTCGACCTCGCCCTCGTCGTAGACGCCGACAGGCACACCGCTTGAAACTTGAATGCCTGCAGTCGCCGAGAGGTACGGGTCGGGAGCAGCAGATGACATGTCGGCGACGATGGCCTGGTTCTCCATAGAGCTAGTACAGGCCGCGGCGGTAAAGAGGTCAAGCTGGTGGTGATGGTGGTGCGGCCCGCCGGCCAGCTCATGACCGCCATCGTAGCTACTTGCGTACGACGAGGTGAGGGAGGCACTTGGTGGAGGCGTTGCGAGTCCATGTGAGTAGGGTTCCATGAGCCCAAGTGTTCCGGTGGATGCCAGGCTCGGCAGCTGGCCGGGCATGGTGACAGATTCCCAAGCATTGCTCATGTTGTCGTTCATGACGGCAGCGAGGTGGTGAGAGTAGGGGGGTGTCGGTGCCATGAGCATCTCCCGGCCCTGGCCAGATGCCGGGTTGACGCAGACATTCTGCTGATGCGCCGAGGAGACGGGGTCCAGGGCCGTGAGGAAGCGCCAGGTCGTGCCGGGAGGGTTGAAGACGCGCTTTGAGCGGCTTCCCCGTCGGGATGATGAGGTCTGATCTTCGCCGTCCTCCTCGGCGGGCTTCCTGCCCTTCTGCGGCGCAGGCTTCTCAAAGATGGGGTTCCACTTGTCGTCAAAGGCGTGAATGGTGCGGAACTTCCAGAGAATGATACCGCGGCGCACCCAGTTGCGGCGATCAGAGTTATCAGGTGGGGCAGACCACAGCTCCTGGAACATGCCGACCTGCTGGATTAGCTCCGCCGTGGTACGCTCGGCTTCGAGGGCGGCGTCTTCCGCGGCCTTGGCTCTCTCCTCGTCGTCCTCGATTTTGTTCTTGTTGTCGACGGGCTCGAGGTAGCCGGCGCACGTGCTCAGGATGCTAGCCCACTCGGCCGCTGGGAAGGGCACGCGGACGTCCTGTCTGGGACGGCTGCGGCAGTCACACTCGAACTTGCTCTCCTGGCATCCGGGACGGTGCGTGTACTGCACGCCGACCTCGCTCGTTTGCTCAATGATGCAGGGCTCGTTCTCGGCTCGGCGGAGCTCCTCGGGCCGCGCCAGCTTGGTGACGCACTTCCAGCGGTGGTTCTGGAGCGCGGGCTGGGAAATGCTCAGCTCAACGAAGCCGTTGAGCTCGGATCCGGCGGGGAAGTTGCTGCGGGGATGGATCTCGAGTGTGACGGTCATCTCCAAGATGTCAAGCCACTTGTTGTCCTGGATGGCGTGCTCGAGTGACTTGTGCAGAGGAGGGAATTTAGCTTCCCATTCCTGGGACATCTCAGTGACAGCTGCGGATTCCTTCTGGGCCAGTTCGCGGTTGTACTCGTGCAGAAGAACGCTGCCGTTGAGGCCCCTGGAAAGACCGTCTTCCTTGTGCATGTTCTTCTCCAAATGGGGGTAGTAGTCAGGGTCGAGAGGCTTGCCGTGTTGGTCGTAGGCGTCTCCGTTCTCTTCCATCCTGACATTGGAGGAAGCGACGAAGATCCAAGCAGTCTTGGGCCTCATGACGACGAGAGAGTCCATGGCAAGGATCTGGGCAAAGTACTCGTAGTTGGGACGCACGTCTGGAAGACGGCCCTCGGCGAGGGCGACCAGGACTGGGTTGTCCTTGAAGGAAGCAATCTCCATGTTGTCCTTGAGACGGGCCTCACTTTTGTCAGGGTCCTTGACGAAAAAGAAGTGGTCTGAAACCTGTCAGCTCGAGTCCTCAAAGCAGGCCTAAGACCCAAACTTACAGCATCGGTGCTTCTCGAACATCTTCTTGACCACTTGAATGTGGCTGGAGACTTGCTTTCTCTTTCTTTCCTCTGCCTTTTGTCCCGGCTGCAAGCTGCAGCAGTACGCGATCCACAGGTACTCGCTGATGAGCATGTTACGCCCAAATTGCTTGCCCTGCATGCTGTACTTCTTTCTACCCATATGCGGGATGATGAGCAGTGCTGAAATGCCATGTCAGAAGGGACTTCAAGCTACTCAAGTGGATGGAGACTCACAGTCGAGGAAGGCATCTTCCAAAACACGAGGCCAGATCTGCTTCTCGTTGGGATCCTTTTGGTCCTGCTTGTCCCGGTAAGGCCGGAACTCGGGGGCATAGTAGATGGGGTTGATGTCATGTCGTGCCCTTCTGGCCATGTGGAGAGCATCAGGCCTTCTCAGGCTGTTGCTGCTCCTGTAGGTAGAGCCAGCCTGGGATGGTACGATAGGTGGAGTGGGTATGCTCGTCAGGCTCGGTGAGAAGAGGCCAAGTGGGCTATTACGGCACGACGATGCGAGGCTTCCCAAGTGAGAGCCGGCGGACTGGACATTGCCCGTCGACTCCCTCAACGGCTGCCGCCCAGTCGGTGTGCATCGTCTGCTATCGTAGCTGTAGACTGGGGAAGGGGAGTATCGTTGAGAGGGAAGCACAGGGCGCGGATGCTCCATCATCATGAGGTCTGCTTCCGCTGGAAGCAATCTTCTTTTCTTTGTGTTTCTGGAGATAGTCCTTGCGGAGGACTGGTATGGGACTGGTTGATGCGTCGACCTTGGTCCGTTCTTTCTCTCTGCCCCACGAGGAGAGTAGAGACTTCAACTGGATTGTAAAAGGATTCCTTGACAAGCACGGAACCCCTGAGTGAAAGAATGGAAGATAGCTGAGAGGCAAAAGACGTAGGTGAAAGGAATGACTCTTCAGGAATTCCGTGACGGGGCGGGCATGGGTTTTGTTGCTAAGTGAAGGAGTGCAAAAGGGCGCTTGTTCTCCGTGTGATATGCTCCGGGGTCAAGATTCCTCGTGGTATGTCCTCGGGAGAAGGGCTGAGAGAGCGGGAGAGGAATGATGGCGAAGTGAGTGTAAAAGATGGTGTTTTCCGATTAGGAAACAAACAGCAAAGTAAAATGAGCGTGTGTCTGAATTCCGCAGCTCGAGAAACTGGTTTGAGAAAGGCGGGCGAGCCACACGTGCCTTTCCTATGCTTGAGTGTTTGGATCAAGCAAAAGAAAAGTAAGGATGTTGGAAGATGGAGAGAAGGCTTGGGGAAGTTGAAAGGAATGACACTGGCATGGGACGTACGTCAATATAAGTTCCTGAAGCCAGGTACACCCGCTCCAAAGTCTGAAAAGAGAGGAGGCGAGGGAAGGTTCAATATCGTTCGACAGACACACCCTCAACACCGTAGTCTACCGGGCGAAGGAGACGGCGATAGACGGGACTGACAGAGCAAGAGAGAGCTTTCGAAATTTCGTTTGGCACCCCAGGTTCCAGATCGAGGGCCAACACACGCCCCCCTTCTTAGCCCTCTGCTTCATCGTCCTCCTCATCCATTCCCCGGGTATGCCTGTGGACTCCTCCTAGTCTAAGGGCCCTGTCCTCCTTGGGACAGTAGATACAGAACATGTGCCTGTGAGCCCCGCTCGAGGCTCCAGATTATCCCGACTCCTGCGTACTGGACCCTCTGAGCGGGGTGAAGGGAAGATCCCTTTTTGGACGGCGCTGGTCAGCACTGCTGAAGCGGGAATGTGGTCTGGGTGAAGGAAGGGATGGCGGGGCAGTGAGAGAGAGAGGGAAGTCAATCTGAGCACGAGCTTCAGAGGGGACATGGAGAGGTGCAGACAGGAAGCTCCGGCAGACTAAGTCGGATCAGGGCTCCGAGAGAGACTAGCCAGGGTGAGGGAAGCAGAGCGAAAGAGAAGGCAGGACGTTAGTGAGCAGTATAGTAGGAAGCACAGGGCTGGAGCCGTGCCTGTCAGAGGAGGATAAGGGAGGAGGGTGATTCTATTGGCAGGTCCAGCGACGTTGTATGACCCGAATTTGACTGACTTGACTTGACAGTTCGGAGGATCGCGAGGTTAGCCGTAGCTGAGCTAGAGGGCATCGGGGAGCCAGTCTTGTCGATATGGGCCCCGTTGAGGTTTTCCCTGTCGCCCTACTACTACGGTACGGTACCAAGCGGACGTGCGTGTGCATATGATCGTCTGTCAGTTCGACAAGGGCCATCTCCACATGGCAAATCATGGGAAACTAACGAAGTTGGAGGGGTGGACACATTGAGGGCGCTGGCATGCAAGGGGGCTGGTCCAAGGAACGTTGGCCTTCACGGGGGCCAACTTGGGACGAACTAGATAGAGACCACGGTTCTGGATCTGCACGTACCACGCGCACCAAACCATACAGCACCACCACCACCACCGTCACTCATTCAGACCCGTCCAATCGAGAGTTCTCTTACTCTTTCTAGAGGCAAGTCTGGAAGAAATATGGGACGGGCAGGCAACTTTTTCTTCGATTTCGGCGTGGATGCTGATTTAGAGCCTCCCCGCCGTTCCGCTCTCTTGTCAAAAAGTTAGAGCATCCTTCGCAACACGAGCGGCAAAATAGCAACGAGTAAGAAAGACAAAACAAGAGGATAGAGTTAGAAACACAGGCGAAGAAAGGGAATAGTGCACAGTGAAGCTGGTATGTAGCCAGATTAGAAAGAGACAAAAACACCGAGTGAAGGGGAGAGAGATGCATTCCTGCTGTGCGGGTCAAGGAGGCGAAGAGGGACAGACGAGTACGCAGCTCGAGGCAGGACAGGCAGAAGGAGGCGAAATGACAGATGAGAGAAAGGTTTTTGGTGTGGAACGACGATGTTCGCTTTCCTCTCTGCCTTTCCCCGCGTGTTTCCTCCTCCCACTCTCCTCCTCTTCCCCATCCCTTCCCATCTGCAACGAAGATGGTTCTCTCGCGTATTGAAGCTATTGCCATTTGATGTTCTGGTGCACGGGGCAAGGTCCCAAATAGCACAGACAGTATTAGTCTGTAGTTGACTTGCAGTTTCCGCCCTCTCCAGAACCCCACCGTTTGACAAAACAAACTCCTTTGGTTCCCGTCATGGGCTTGACATGGGGAAAGGTGCCCCAATAGCGGGACGGTTTATTTTTTGCAGGAGGTGTTCTGTTCGGGGAAAAATTGATCGGAAGGGTGACAAGGGGGTGAGCAGGGGCCCAAATCGCGGGGCCAGGGATGAGTGAGACAGATTTGCATACAGAATTACAGATGCGGACTACCACTCAAGTTAAAGAAAGTAACTGCCAAAGGGCGATACCGTGTAGAGATACCTGGGCCAAACTTCTCTGTTTCTGAGTTGGTCGTATCGATTGTCACTTTGAGGGGGAAGACGAGAATGACGCGACGATAGTGCAGTTCGTCAGGGAAATGTTGTGAGACGATGGTGGCATAACACCGACAAAAATTTGGATTCGCTTCTATCTTTTCCCTCTTGGGACCGTTGATGTTGATGTTCCTCCAACCGCTCACATATCCATCTCGTCGGCATTGTCGTCTCCGATGGTGACCCTTTTCCTGTTCTGGCCCATGAGCTGCGAGAGAGCGACCTTGTTGACTTGGCCCCCGATCTTGCGCTGCATCTTGGCAATCTCCTCCTCCGCGTCGACCGCCTCGGCCTCGGCGTAGTCGAGAACCAGCTTGCGGCCCAGCAAGTGGGTGTCTCGCAATGCGTTGAGAGCGTTTTCCGCCTCTCGGGGTGTGACAAACTCGGCAAAGGCAAAACCCCTGGTCGAGTTGCCAAACTTCTTCGGCAGGCGCACCGCCCTGAGCTGGCCATAGGTGCTGAACAGGGTGCGGATGTCCTTCTTGGTCGCTTCGAAGGGCAAGTTCTTGATGACGACCTTGGTCCGCTGCCCCGCTGCCTTGCGGGCCTTGTCCTCCCGGCGACGCTCCTCTGCTGCGTCTTGGCCCTTGTGGGAAGCCTTGACCGCAAGGGTGTGCCCTTCCAGCACAAACCCGTCCATGGACTTGAGGGCTGCCTGCGCTTGTTCCTTTGTCTTGAAGACGACAAAGCCGAAACCCATACTGAGCACTTGTCCAGGCTTCTTGGGGTCCATCTTTGTCTTCACTCTGGCGGAGGCGAAGCCGTCCAACGGTTTAAACGTTTCTGCCAACTTATCCGTCGTGGTGGAGAAGTTGAGGTTCCGGACAAACAGTGAGGTGGTTTCAACGCTGGCCTCGCCTTGGTCGTCTCGTCCCAAAAGCTCTGTAACGCTCAACTTCTGAACACCGGTGGGCCGATCCTCCTTGCCCTGCGTCATGTTTACTGAGGCATCATTCTTGAACAGGTTCTTCGGGCCCTTCTCCAGAAACAGCACAGTGTCCTTAATACGCCTGTACGCCAGCTTGGCGAAGGCAGCCTTTGCATGTGTTGGCTGCGCGAATTCGACGATGGCAATGGTACCACTAGGTGGCATCAGCACCCTCAGGACTGTGCCGTGCTCCTCAAACATAGTTCTCAGCTCCTCCATCGTAGTCCCGAACGGGAAGTTCTTGACCAAAATGGTCGTGTCGCCCCGCTTTTGCGACTTGAGGGCATCGAGATCCACGCCGTTCGACACAAAGTACGACTTGGTCTCTTGGATGATCGACGTCTCGGCGATGGCCTGCTTGACACCGGCATCTGCCGAAGTGGGATCTAGCAGCTCTGATTTGGACACGCCCAGCCGGCTTGCCACGGAAGCATTGACTGCATCCTGGCTCATGTACAGAGAATTCCAGTTGAACGTGCTAGAGGCGGCATCGGCTTTCTTTCGGATCAGGTTCTGCTTTTTCAAGGGCAGCTTTGAGATTGCGAACTCGTCCAGCCCAGCATCGCGCTTTCCCTCAGCGGGCAAGACGTGCAAAAGACGCCCTTGAAAAGTCTGACCATCCGTCGACTGGAATGCAGCAACAGCTGACTCGGCACTCGTGAATTGGACCATTGCAAAGCCCTTGCTTGCGCCTCCAGCAGTGACTGGCAGATGTACCTGGTGGGAAATTAGCAATCTGAGCACATCCTTGATGTTCATATGAAGAGCTGAGAAGGCAATCATTTTTCAGAAAGTCGAAGCATCTACTAAAATACCGATCCAAGGTTCGCATCAACCATCATTTGATGTAAGCTGTCCCTATCTGGATTCATCACATGATTGTATGGCACGGAGTGGCGTAAGATTGATATGAAAAGCTCTCTGCTTACCTCTTGCAGCTCCCCAAATTGTTCAAAGTGTGCCCGCAAGTCCTCGTCTTTGGCACTAAACGGTAGGTTTCGAACGAAGAGTCTAGAGTTTCGCTTGATGGTGGCGAGGGTGGCATCTTCCTCGACCTCCTGGGAAACCGGGGCGTCTTGAACAACAGCTCCACCGTCAGTCTCGGCCTTGGGCTTCTCGGCCGCCAGCTGCTTTTGCTGTTCCACGGGAGCACTTCCGACTGTCTCTCCACTGTCTTGCTGGACTGGAGGTCGGGGCACTTCGCCATCTTCAACTAGATCAAGTAGTCGATTTGTCCTCGAACGAAGCCAATCATCGTCTGTGGCAGCAGCATTGGTAGGGGCAGACGTAGTCTCGTCCTGAGGCATGACTTCCGTCGGCTCAGAGACGGGGTCAGCGTCAGGCATCGCCTCGTCCTTTTCCGGCAAAGGCTCTGTACGACCATCTCCCTGTGGTGCCTCCCTCATCTGCCGTTTCTCAGGCCGAGACGGGATGGCCTCATACTCGTCGTCACTCTCATCGTCTTGAAGCAACTTCTTCTGCTCTTTAACAGCGGCAGAGGCCATGACATCTGACATCTCGTTTGCAGAGCTTTGGCCAGTGCCCATGACCTGCAAGAACTCGCGCAGCTTGGGATCCGATTCATCCAGATCCTCTCGCTTCCGCTTCTTCTTCGCATCCTTCTCGTCACTGGCAGGGGGAGGGGCAACGGATGCTGACGGCGTTGCCACAGACATCTGGCCGCTAGTGCCCTTTGCCTTTGCAGGGGCAAGATCTGCAATCTGGGGAGGTAATATGAGTACATGGACAGTCGTTTGTTTACAAGGTGATGGTGTCAACATACCGGTCTTGCAAGCTCAACATTGATCCTTGACATGCGGATGTATGATCTGTTGAAATACTTGACTGCCTTAGCAGCAACCTCGGGAGTCTTGAAACCGACATAGCCGATTCTCCGTTGAGGAATTATTTTGACGTCTGTGACTTCACGACCTCCAGCTGAGAAGTGCTGTCGGAAGTCTGCGTCTGTGATTTTGGGCGGAA